GTCCTAGTATATTCAGCTGTTTCAAATATTAGTGTGGATTTCAAATTATTCATCTGTTCAGATAAAACATTTTCTTCCTAAGAACATGGAATCTTTGAAGGCCGATGGGGTAGAGCGAGAGCTCTGATGGAATTCCAAAACACGTTTGCTACGTGCCATGAACCCTTCCAGATAAGTTAAACATCGTTGGTTTGGTAAATTTATCTTTTATTGGTAAAATGAAAATTAATAGATAGTAAACAAGAAAAAAAATCTCTACACAAACTTACTTTAACTGTCTGCTCCTAAAATATCTAAAAGAAGTAAGTTAAATCCATCTGTATTGGCCAAAATCATCAAATTCGGTTTACACAAACGATTGTTTTGATGACCAATTCGGGGTCAAGGCAATAATCACTGAAGCTGTCCTAATGTCAACACTAAATTGAGGCGACACAACACTTAATATGGTTTGGTTGTCTGTTTCTATTTAACTTAATTAAGTGAACACTCCCATAGTTTGGTATGGGTTTTATATGTGTTGTAGGGCAGAGTTGAACCAACACAAGAAGTTACGAGTTTGTTTTCAATTAAATAATTATTTTTGGACAAGGATACAATGTTTCATACAGTATTATGTTTTCCTCAATATGAGTGGATTATTTAGCAGTATGCCTTGTTTGGCTTTTTTACTGACTGGCCAGGAAAAAAATCTGTTAAAAACCATACAACTAAGGACGGACAGAAGCATCCAGTTTTGAACCATCAAAGAGCTACTGCCTTTCAGGATCACTTTCTCATCAGTTTAAGGTTGAATCGTTGCCATTTTAATCAAGTAAATACTTAATTTCTACACCATAAACATTTGCAGATAACAGCTAGATATTCAATCGATCATATTTAATAACTAGCAGAGTACCCGTCCTTCGTACGAGGTTGGTATATAAGTTTAAATTGCTTATTGCAGGTATACTCAAGCTTTGAGTTTGCAATGGGGGAGAACAAAGTTTGATAAAATTTGCTTCTTTAAATTGACGGTATATACTATGGTATTACACATCTACCATAGCCATAATGTTCTACCTCTTCACCTAAACAATATAGAAAAATAAAGTATTACAAATTAAAAAAATCACAAATTATTCATGACATTAAAAACATAAACATAACTGTAAACAATCCTACTATGACAGTTCTCATTGCGTAACTGAATTGAGTTTGATGCTGCTTAATTCAAATTAGCTGTTTACATAAATGCAAAAAAATATAGTGCTGCACCCTGTTGGTAAATCTTATAACTTTTAATGCTTTTGTATATCATAGAACCAATTTTTTTAGTTGAAACAGCTGACTAAATTCTTTGATTCCCTTTAAATATGAATACTCATAAGGTTAACATGGGGAACTACAGAGCCACTGGGGCGGAGCCCGAAGAGATTTTTGAGATAAGAATATGCCTATATGTTAATCGGGAATGTGAGCTATCATCATGCCAAATTTCAGCCCAATCCATCCAGTGGTTTATGCGGGATTGACCTTCAAACACACAAACAAACAAACAAACAAACAAACAAACACACAAACTTTCACATTTATAATATTAGTAAGATTATAAAATTGAGGTGGTGTCTGTCTGGGCAGCTGTCACTACTAAAATGCTAAACCAATACCAATACAGTACAACCAAAATTAATCACAAAGATGGTCCAAATATCTAGGAATGCCATGCCTATTCACTTCCCTGAGTTCCTCTCGGGGCACGCCCCTTGGATGTCCTAAGTTTTGAGGTGAAAAAATGAAATTGAAAGTCATTTTCATCGTCACCAACGTCTGCGGTTGGTGGGTAGCCTACCGTGCCTGAACACCAGTACATTCGGTAGAATGGTATTTTGGTTACCTATATACCACCAAGAAGATTTATACCGATGAATTGCTCCATTTCAGCCAAAGAAGTGTTGATTGAATCTGTTTTTTGGACTGAACATAACATTTGTTTCTTCAACGATATTCTCCATTATGTTATTATAAAAAAAAGTGCTATAACACCCCTTTGGGTAAAGCAATTTCTTTGTTGGGGGACCCATTAATGAATCAGTATAAAATTCAGGAAACTCATCATCCTGTCAACATTTTTCTTCCTTTAATTTCTCTTTGCTTTATCCATTGATTTTGTTCTTTTTTTTTGCAAGCCCTAGCAGAAGTGGTATGTTTTTGTTGGGAAATATTTCCTTTTCCAGGATTTGTGCCATAACATCGCGAATTTGCCTCACATTTTCATTGCTTGTCCCACCTTCATCATCATAAATTCTTGCATCTGCTGATTCATTTACTTCTTCCTCATTGTTTTCCGTTGTATTTTGTGTTTCATCGGATGAATGTCAAGTTCTCTCATCATTTCATCAAGATTTGTAACCTGGCCTCCAAAACTTCTTCCGTAACAAGTACATCATCTTGGGTTCATCACAATCTTCAAAGCCTTAAACATCAGATAGGTCCCCTCTCAAAAGTTCGTCTATTTCTGACCTAGTGTGGTGTTCCATTTCCAAAATCTGCAAAGAAACACATTCTTAGAATTATTTACTCACTTATCACCATAGGAAGCGATGGATAAAATGTAGTTTTATTTTCATCCAGAAAAATAATTTATACCATCAAATAATGAGAAATGGTAGAGACGATTACCATCCCAATGAGTAAAATACCGATGAGTAGGCCTATTATTTTCCTCATTGACTTAACCTATATCTTCCCAGAGTAATATTTTACTCATCTAACACTCTTAAAAACTATTAAATAAGCATTAAAACTTACCTGAACAAATTCTCAAAAATCACCAAATGCACAAGAGCTTGAAATCCGTGTTTTTGTAACTGAGAACAATAAAACAACTTAAATGGCCACCTGAAGTTTCCTACCAATGCTGCCAACGTGTTCAGCATTAAATTTACCTTTGAACCATGAGTATTTTATTAATCATTGGGAAAATAAACCATGTTATTTATAATAACAAACAAAACATGAGTAAAAAAAAATACTCTGTGGGAAAGAAAGGGTTAAAAGATATGGTATTTGTCAGAAATTGACATTAAAGCAGGTTTACATTTGAGTTAGTCCATAGAGACACATATATACAACACGTAGAAATTTTCACTGGAGAAATGGCAATGGCAGTTGCAATTTGAATTGAAGCAGTAGACTTCCCATCTATATGGACCAGCTGTAGCCATTTTTTTATTAAAAAAGAATGTAGTTGTGTGTGCCAGTTACAGAATGCACTAGCATCTAAAATTCTATTTTATACCTTATTCTTCGTTGCTGACCAGGTTGATGGGTCATAACAGTTGCTATAACTCATCATATGCCATTCCCTAAGTTTGACTTGGTTAAAAAGAGAATTTAGTAATTTAGATCACCGCAATCTGTAGGTGGCTCACATCAACTACGATGATTTTTATAAAAAAGCTGGCTACAAATTTAACATGGGGATAGAATGTCTAAAAGTGTTTTAACATTGGCTTTATGGGTTGCCAAGTAACTGACCAAGTTGATTGAACAAAATAACAAAGAAAAAGAAAACAAAAAGACTTGTGACTTGTGTTTATAACAAGCCATCCACAGTATACTAGCAAATTACAAAATAGGTACAACATCAGTTGTTACTATTGAAAAAAGAGTAAACTGAATACTACTCGATATAAGGGTAAAATGCAAATAAACTATACCAATCCATGGCACGGTCCCCGCATAAAAAACACAAAAAAAGAGGCTTCACATTTTACAGTATGATTTAGTTATTTGCAATATTTCTTTTATGGTTCAGTCAGCACTAAATACGTTTTGTGTACTTGATACCCATCTAAATTAATGTAAAACTTATAGAATCCAAAATTAGGTTTATATTGAGCACTTCACTTATTACCTCCGGCACTTCAAAACCTTTCAAAAGTGCTGTAAAAATTGTGGAACCAAAACATAAGCATTGAAAATATCTCCTCATTGTATGTGTAATTAACACAAATGTTCCATTGGCAAATTACACTGCCCTTTACTTACTAGTCAGGAATTATAATAATTAGGTCACATAAAGTTTTCAATTTATAAAAAGAACCACTGGTTAAAAAAAGATTGCCAAGTTTTAAAATGTTAACTCGATTTTTAAAGATTTTTGTTTATTTTCCTAATTTGTTAGAATCAATTTGCAGTTTTTGTTGATAAAATATTGAATGAGTTAGCACAGCCTGAATTGCTATCAGTCTATTATCAGAAGCAGATAAGACCATCAATAAAATAACAATCAATACCTGCAATGAAGAAACTCTCGTTGTGGTCATGAACTGTTTACAATACAACTTAACACTTTCTGCTGAGTGTGTCAGAATTTTGTTTTGTTTTCAATAGGGTTTATGTAAAACTTAGTGTATAAAATGTGGGTAGTTTATTTATGGTAACTTATTTCTCAAAAAAAGATTAAGGTGAAATAATTAGTGCTGGTTGATATGTTATTTGTATCTGCAACTGGGCAGTCAATTAATGATACTACTAAATATGTAGGTGCCCTTTTACCTTTATGGATAGTTCAGATTCAATTTTATGTTTTCCCTCATTCTATTGAAAAAAATCAAAATGAATACACACATCAAGGATAAGCCAAAAAGTAGTAAAATGCTTGATTTGAGGGCCAACTCACTAAGAGTCCACCTATCTTTTCAACTTCCATCCGAGCCACTGACTATTTATAAATAGTCAGTAGTTGGCGAAGGCTTATAAGCCTTGCCCACCAAAGTCCCTCATTAACAATGTTTTCCCCATAAGAATAACAAGGAAAGAGAAACTCATTTGTTTTGGAAGGTACAAGTTAGGAGGGCAACATTGGAAAGTTGGTTTATAAACATTTTAAGCCTGAGTGTCTTAAGTTGGTGTTTAAAACCAAAAATTCACATTCTCTCTTGTGTCAAAATAAGATTGTTTTTATATGATTCAAAAATTCAAATTTTGGGCAAGGAAGTAACAAGAGAACAAAATATACAAATACAATTTAATTTGAAAATGATTACCATATCCCAAGAGGAACAAATGTACACATCCATATTTACAAGATTTACATTATAACCAATTTTATCATATCATTCAATTCTACAGTAAGTTTGTGAATTAGACATGTTTTTTCAAAACCTTTCAATGTTTCATTCAGAAAAAATTTCTTAACAAAGTTAGTTAAGGAATAAAAATAATTGTAATCTACGAAACTTTGGTACAGTACAAAAAAGTTAGGTACAAGTTTAAACTTAACTATAATTTTTTTTTAAATCTAAACGCTATCTAGGTTTAGGCAATTATTTTTAAATATAGTAAACCCTCATTGATCTAGTGGATTAGATTTCAACACACCTTTCACAGAAAATAGCTTTAGTGTTCCAAATGTTACGAACAGTAACCAATAAAGCACTGTAAATTAAGCAACAAAACGGTGCAATTTACAGTGGTGCATAACACATAGTGGAACAATAGTTTTACAAACAGCTAAATTTAAATTATGTGAATTCTGCATTTATGATGTCCAGATTAATGAGGGTTTAACGTATATTTTATCCTCAGCATCATCGTATATTTGACGAAGAATGATTTATATTTAAGACTTAAGTAAGTGTAGTTTCAACATTATAGTTATTTAAACTTTAAGTAAGCGATGATTCAATTTATAGGTTTCTTAATAAATAGAAATTAAAAATTATCAATTTTAAAATAATTAGAGACCTACAATAAAATGAAATGCTACAAACTCACGGTAAAACCAACTCTATCACATATTCCACCTTGGTAACAGCTTAGAAGCTCACACAAGAGCATGATAAAAACACTTCAAACTTTTTTAGAACCATAAGTTCAGGCATAAAAATATACATTTTCAAAACATTAGATTACGCTTCAAAGAAATTCCCACGAAATATAAAAAATATCTTAAATAAATAGATTTGGCTTGGAAGAAGCTTACCCGATAACGATAACTGATAAAGCGACAAGTTGCACAGCCTAAGTACAACCGATCTTTGATCTTTCGCGGATACAACTTAACACTTCTAATACCATTGTAAAATTCAAGCTTTCTAAAAGTTTAATACATTAGTAATAATCGTTAAAGGCGATTGAATAATAGAACTGGGCACGTATGAACCATGAGGCGACGAGGCGATGAAATCCCTTGTTTTAGTGAGCCCAAGCCAATAGTTCCTTCAAATCCGGATCTTCTTCTTCGGCTTTGGCTGAAAATACAACACGTAAATAATAGACAATTCACAGTTTATAATTTTGTAAAATACCCCTAACTGGGTTCTCATTGTGATACGATGAAGCTTTTAGAGTATTTTAGTTCTTTCTTGCAGAATTGACTCTCAAAACATAAAAATTTGCAATTTCTTTCTAGCTATTTTGTAGAACTTAAAAACCCCAAATAATAGTTATTGAAGTGTTATAATGTGCTTAATAGTTATAGAAAAATTGCAAAATACCGTACTATAAATTTAAAATTCTCATTTTATGCTTATGGAGGATAAGAAAACTGTTGTTTATTTTAATTATGAACATATTTTAATCAAATCTGGAAAACTTGAAAATTATTCTATGCCATACTAAACTATTAACTACCCCCCCCCCCAAAAAAAAACAAAAAACAAAACAAAAACTTATTACCTTCCCTGTAGCAGCAAATCTAAGAGTTGACAGTAAAAATATTAAAAGGCGGAATTATAACGGTTGGTCAAACAGTTCCAGATCTGTAAATCTGAACTCTACTGATTCAAAAAATTGTTTAATTCGAACAAGATTATTCTCAGCTATTCTATGAATTCTAACTAAATGCTCTATGGGCCCCATAAAGATATATGATATGATACGATAAAACTCTGGTTGCCAAAAATTATTGGTATCAAATCCTTTAGTAAGGGCTCTACTCCACAGGCCACTTTCCTAAGGGGCCTTACATAATTTCAGTTTATCTATATATTAATTACGAAAGCTGATTCTTTGCGTCAAAATTGTGGGCGACTGGGAAGTCTTAGAATGACGAGAGAGGGCTCAAATTAAAGGTCTCTATCCCGTGGCGGCGGAAAAAATAGTGAAATTCCCAAAATGTTAACACAAAATTTGATATAACGTAAAATGTTCTCCATAAGAATAGAATTAGAAACCATTTACTGCTGATTTTTGTTTACTTCAATACAGCTGATGATCATTAGTGATCATTACAATGATTTATCATTAAGCCAGTAAGCAATATTACATATGGATTACTCATTTGCCGGTCGATTCTGCAATGTACTGTATACTATGAAACCAGGAATAGCGTTACCTATAATAATCAAGACTTTTAGTTACGTCTAAGTTTAAATCAATTGTTTTACTGTGCAATTAGCAAACTTGTGTATTTTTAAGTAAATTAGTTAAGCATATGGCAAGTACTGTAGTAGATTCATAGGAGATGGCTCAAATCAAAATAATTAAACTCAGAATAACTGAAAAAATAATGAAGTTTTTTCTTCTGATTTGAAGGTTGTTGTTTTGTAGAAGGAATGTTTAACATGAAATAACCACATTGACTAAATAGTAAACGATCCAAGATTAAATGTAACACTTTTGTTTTGTTTTGATTTAAAAACATATGTTAAAGATTTATTCTAAAGTTTTTTTTCGTAAATCTACTAACATTTATAATTTATTGTAGTGTTTAATCAATATTTCGTATGAAGTGGAATAACCTCAACGGCCACTCATAGAAAACAACCTGGGAATAAAGATGAAATAGGTTCGTATACCGGTAGGTATTGGTTCATTTTGTAATTACTATGACAAGTTACAATGGGCGGAAAATCAATATTGTTTGGAGGAAATTTTAACCAGGTACTGCATGTTGCTCCAAGCAAAAAAGGTTCAAATAATATAGCCTAACATGCACGGTAGTAAAGGGAGCATCCATATATAACAGTAAAGCCTAGAGGTAGTTTCCGTTTCTTAAAACTAACCAAAAATATGCACGTCGAAGATGCTGATGAAAAGTGATTTTGTGATTGGGCTCGATAACTGGTTAATGTCACCATAATCTGACGTAAAATAGTTAGTAATCAGGTGTTGATTAGGCCCTTTTTATAGAATATGTAAAATCAATAGCACCTTTAGGAGGAATACCACCACATAAACTTACACTTGGCATATAGTAGTTTTTTAATGTTGATCAGAAACAAATCTAGGGTTAAGTTTGGTCAATACGATGCCTTTGTTTTACACTAATTTTGTTAACCCTTTACAAAAGGAGTCCTATAAACTTAGATATAATAACTGGGTCGGGTGGTAATTTAGCAGTTGTAAGCTTATCTCAACACTTCATTTATTTGTCTTTTCCTATTTGACGAAGACTATTTCCAATATTACAATCAGGGAAGCCTTTTTATCACCAACCAAAAGACTAAAGCTATCTTAGTAAACCAATATTTATTCACAAACATGTTTGCTGTCTTTAGCAGGGTTAAACCTCTGGATTCATTGAAATTATTTATTTAAAATAACAACATCAAGCAACAAAAGCAAACAAAGACAAACAACAAACTGTTTTTTACACAAAAGATGTGTTGTACAGGGATATCTATCCTGGCACATAGATAATTTGGTTCCAAGTTTGTTTAAATATTAGAATAATTTGTTTTACATTTAAGCTTTTTAGGGACTTATGTCCCTACAAGCCACTATTATTTAATTAACCTAATTAAATGAAACAGCTGATTGATGCAACTAACAGCTGTATGTTTATTTACTTGGAAGGACTGTTGATGGTGCTTTATCTATGTTTTGCAAATTTGTGCGAGTTATTGAGAGAGGGTTGTTATGTTACTGTAATTCGCAACCTCTTCCCATAGAGAAACACAAACTGTACAACAGCTCGTAATTTTTTAAATTACAGAGGTGAAACCTAACTTACTTTAAGTTTGCCTTTAGTCCCAGAAAACTTGTCAAAAGAAAAAACACAGTAAACTCAGAAATCTACTTTAGCAATGTCAAACTCTGATAGGTATGCAAAAACTATAAATTGTATAAAAAAAAATATAAATTTTATACTTTTTAGAAACAATGTGGACAGCCACTAACCATTGAGCTTCTTAACAATTTCCAAATTTAATGGCAAACAATGTTTGATATATGAGTGGCTCAATGTTCATTTGAATAAAAATAGGCTAGAGCTAGTCCATATAGATGCTTTACTTCATTATTCAAAACCAAAAGTCAATAATACCTACTATAGAGCTTAAAAAGAGGTCCCCAAGTCAACCCATATAGACCAGTTGATGGGTGACTGTACATAGCCTAATATGTAAGATACAATAGACAAATGTATATTTTACGTACCTGATGTCTTAGCTCTCGCAGCAGGGACAGGCACCTCGGAAGGTACTGAAGGAAGTTGGTCCGCAGTTGGCCCTGTGCCCAGCAACTCCTTGTCTAACTCTTCTTGTTCCAACTCCTCCAACTCTTTCTCCAACTCATCCTGAAATAAGACGCAAGGATCAGAAAAAATACTCATTCTCAACACTGTCTTGTTTGTCTGAGTAACCGAGGGTAGAGAATTCAATAGGAGGCTCATTTTATTCTCTCTATTGAGGGGAAGACAGAGAAAAATCTGTGAAAGGTAATACAAAGTTTCTCACGGTATTACTTAAGCAAAGGTCCTGGAACAAACATGTATACAGTATTATGTTATTAAAAGTACACATGGACGGAGTAAGTTTAGAAGCTGACTGCTGAATAAGGGGAGCTAAACTTTGCACATCAAAATAGTTATGAAATTGAATGTAAGTTTTAAAAGCTATGAACAAACACGGGTAACAAAAAATTTACTACATGTGTCGAGAACTAAATACAGTGTAAAGAAGGCAAGGAAGGGACAGTTGGAGACAGCATTTTTTGTATTGAGCATCACCAGTATTTATAGGCATAAGTTTCACGCTACTTATGCCATTATGTAAGCGTTAAAACTGTCAATTTCAGTTTTTAACATTCACTGAACTGTTTAATGAAACCTTAATTCTATGCCAGGTAGTAGAAACATTTTATAAAATACTAAAGCTGTTAGTTTACAAACCAAAACAAGACATACAAGTCAAATCTTATCTGGGTTAACAGGACAAGCTTTTTGGCATTGTATTGTAATTTATCATCATTCATATACTTTGTTTAGTTTTTAATCAATCTAAATACATTCAAAAGACAAATTTTGATATGTGCGAAATTAAGAACTCATTTGTCACTGAAGGCACAAAACAAGTTTACGACTATTAGTCTACACCAAACATCTTAATTTAAAAAGTCAGTTGATGAGGTAAATGTAACATAAAATAAATAATTATAGCATTTGTGTTAGTAATCCTTATCCTTTAACGACTATAAATATTATTTAAAACACTTATTTATGATAACGATAACTAAAGGAAGTGAGTAAAAGAATAATAAAGTTAAAAATACATATATGTAGTTCACTATATAGCCAAATAAAAAATTCACAGAAACTCAAACTAAAATTCAAATTATCAAATGAAAACTTATAAATGCACAATAGACACAAAGATTTTTAAACTATTCCAACCGTCGTCGCTTTTCAAATGTACAGTAACGGAAAATTGCATCACTGCTGTCCCCTTTTCATATAAAAAGTCATTTGAAGCTATTATTTACTTATCCACTGTGGAAAAACAATTGATAATGCATTGCTATCACCAGTGAGCTCTGAATGTCGCAGTTGCATTGGTTAATTGAAAGTTTTGAGTTTATCTGTTAAGGTCAAAGACAACCAGACGCAATAAACAATTTGGAGTCTGGTTTTTTATTACATTCTGAACAAGATAAACTGATATCTGAAAAACTGCTTAAAGAGGATAATGAGGTTAGGTAAGGAAAAATAATCAGTGTATGAGTGAACTAGGGATTACAAAGATATTTTAGTAGACGTAGACTAGCAGTTTCTAAAATTAGCAAAGTTCTGTTTTGACTTTTCACATTTGTAAATACAGTACCTACTGCATTATTATTATACTAGCAGAGTACCCGTCTTTCGTACGGGGTTGGCATATAATTTTAAAATGCTTATTGCAGTTATACTCAAGCTTTACGTTTGCAATGGGGGAGGACACAGTTTGGTAAAAATTTGCATTTTTAAATTTACAGTATACTATGGTATCAAGGGCGGTCCCAGGGGGGGGGTCAGGGGGGTCATGACCCCCCCCCCCCAAATATTTTATATATAGATAAACTATTATACCAGGGAAACTTTAATAATTTTTATTGCAAATCGTTCTACCAAATTGAATTCATTGTAGTCTTTACACTTGTGGCGAACGAATGAACTAATTACAAACTCTAACCCAAACCTTGGGATCATTCGAGTCTGACTAATTTTTAATACGTTATGAAAAGTAGGGAAGATTGGCAAACGACGAACGCTTTCAGCCATATACGGCTGAATAAGAATAACACTACCCAATTGGTATGTTGCTAGCCACAAAACAACAACAAAATGGTAGTGTCTCAGACTTAAATGCGGATTTAATTCCCGGCACAACCACTCACAACCACAAAAAAGTTGCACAAAAACTATATTCTCACATTGACCCCTTGTAAAATGCCACTGGCGTAGAAAAAAATTAGACCACTGAGAACCAACTCTTCAGGCGGTAGAAGTGACGGGACGCCGACGGCATCGTTAGTTGGGTAGTGTACTTTGTGTAGGTTAACTGTTGCTTGCTGGGCAGGTATAATGCAGTCGTGTTGGGTGCTAGTTCTTAAACACATCTTAGATAAAATAAGTTCTCTGGTTCAAAATCATGGTCTAATTTTGGACAATTTCTGTTTAGCATGCACATTGGCACCAGTTAAAAGGGTGTTTTTGTAAATCAAACATGCTTGAATGTGTTGTAATGTTGCGGCATTCCTTTGATATTAAAACAACAAGTCTCAATAATATAAAAAAAACATGACATTATACGAGTACAAGTTTATTTTTTAACATTTTTTTACCTTAAAAAAATAAACTGGGAAGCTTGAACACATTAAACTAGTTCCTCAAAATAGCTTAAAAACTACTAATTTTAGCACGTTATTTCCAAATTTTTCCCGGGGGGGGGAACCCCCGGACCCCCTTCTTTGCTGAGGGGGTATTCCATACCTCACAGGCCCCCCGGTGACCCCCCCCCCAAAATATATGACTAGGACCGCCCTTGTATGGTATTAGGACACATCTACCATAGCCATAATGTTCAACCACTTCACCTAAACAATAAAGAAAAATAAATTATTTAAAATTCGCAAAAAAATCACAGATTATTTATGACATTAAAAACATAAACATAACTGTAAACAATCCTACTTTGACAGTTCTCATTGCGTATCACAGTTTTTTGTTGCCGCTTAGTTCAAATTAGCTGTTTACATAAACGCCAAACAAATTATAGTGCTGCACCCTGTTGGTAAATCTTATACCCTTTAAATATGAATACTCATAAGTTTAACCTGGAGAACTACAGAGCCACTGGGGGGAGCCTGAAAGCATTTTTGAGATAAGAATATGCCTATATGTTAATCGGGAATGTGAGCTATCGTCATGCCAAATTTCAGCCCAATCCGCCCAATTTATGCGTGATAGAACTTCAAACAAACAAACACACAAACTTTCACATTTATAATATTAGTAAGATTAATGTTACTTGTTTAAAAGGTTCTATCTCATTCATTTAGTAGCCTACAACAGTAGTGTCAATGGAAAATTTAAACGGTTTTAAAAATACAATGTTGTTTTGTTCTGAAATTTTTACTTTGTACAAGAAAAATAAAGAATTCCTAATTTTTTCTGTATGCATAAGATATTAAAATCCTATTAAATTTTTAATGTAATAAATACGCTAAAAAACAAGTGACTTAGTAGGCCTACTAAAAAAAATTATCCAATTTTTAGTTTGAGTTTAAAAACGCTAATGGCAATTTTATGTATTTTGTAGAGGAACGGTCCAAACCCTGTTTTTGTTACTATTAAAACATCAATATTTGTATATCTAGCAAGATTAATCAGGTATCAAAGAAACAGTAAACTACATCGTTAGTACAGTTGTCGCAGCTAGTCTGGGCGCGCGGCCACGCTAGGGTGCGGGGTGTAGAGGGGAGTGTTTATTGCTCATTTCCAAAAACATCTGGCCCACACGGCTGTCTGGGGTTGTTCAGCGCCTCACTGCTGTCTTCATGGCTTTGGCGTGGGGAACGGTAAGTACACAAGGGTCCGCGCGCCCAGACTAGCTGCGACAACTGTAGTAACAACTTTAAGGAGAGGGCACTTTCAGTCAGTGCCATATGATGCTATTTTAGACTATCCAAGAGTCCCACTAGTGATCTAAACCAACTGTTGGGAAAAAAAGTTATATTATTTACGTTAAAAACAAAGCTGTGTGTACGGAAATTGTAGGTGAATGTTGATGCATGGACCAAGTTTGCTTATTGTAGCCTACATGAATTTTGAATACAAGGATAATTGGAATAATTGCCAAAATAGCCTATGGCCATCCATTCATTGAGGGCGATCCATTAATACCTCTTATGAAATGGCGACCATACTCATGTAGGTATTTTAAGACAAGTATGAATGGAGATGAGTGTAGGATGAGTGGCGAGATCTTGTAGTCTTGTTAGTTACTAAGGCCGACATGTTCCACAGCTGTTAATTAATCCCATACAGCCAATGGCAACTAAGGGGCCTCCAGTTTATCGTGGAATCCGAACCACATTTTAGCCTTGTAATTGGGCCATTCTGAAATTAAGTCAAATTTGTTGTCCCTCAATGTTTTCTACACAAAAAAACTAATTTTATAAACTTGATATCTTTTTATAAATGGAGAAAGAGTGTATTTAAGAGATCCCAATATCAAATTTTAATATAGACTAATAGAATAGGCCTAAATATTCTTTCATAAAAAAAAATCATGGGTGGAAATTCCCCTTAATTTTAGAATGGCCCATTTAACGAATTAGTCTAATTATTAGAATAGTACTGCGGATAGTCGTAGTAGGCCTACTACGGACGTTAATCCACATCAGGGAGTATTGCATCCACAGTGCATGCCTATAAATATCCACAATTCGAGACCTCCTAAAAAGCACGAAATTCATTGGTTCTATTGAGTGACATAAGAAAAAATCAACTGTGGGAGTTTATCACAGGGCTGCCTTAATTGTGGGAGCAATATATGGCCACTTACGGTGGTAAAAATGTGTTGTTTGGATAAACAAGACTCTGTGCTATGTGTGGTTTTCTTTATGAACAGACTGATTAAGCTATACACATGATAAAAACATGCCATACCTAACGAATGGTTAGTGTAGTATATTCAATATAGTGTGAGTGTAAACTATTGTTTGTGGAAGGCTGGCTCTGGGTCCAAGCATGTCAACCATGGCCTATGGTGTATCTTTGATGGACGAAATATACCCTCATTAAATTATGTGATAAAACTTTTTTATTTTGTCACATTTGCATTTTTTTTATGACGTTGAAATAGGCTAAGTACTGTACATACACTGAAACGCCTCTTTCACACGAAGGGCGCCCGCCGCGCGGCGCTGCGCCGGACAAGCGTGTGTCTTCACACTAGTACGGTTTCGTGCGGCGCGCGCCGTACGGCCCTCCTAAATATTTATTATTTTCTGCTCAGTTGTGGCTTTTAAATGAATACTCCACTTAAAAGTTCAAATAAAATGAATACTATAGGCTAATTTAATTTCCGTTCAGTTGTGGCTTTTAAATGAATACTCCACTTAAAAGTTCAAATAAAATTAATACTGTAGGCTAATTTAAAATATAAAAACTAGTGCACCTGTTGCTCGAATTCGAGCAATTGCAAAATATTAAAGGAGTTTTTTTTACGAATAATTGTCACAATTCCCGCGACTTAAAAGAGTCCAACTCAAAGATAATGTAACCAATCACTCCACTCCAGTCATCGAAACTGGAAACGAACTCACTCTGAAAACGAACGCTCACTCCACTCCATCTATCGAAACTGAAAACGAAAACTCTTGTGTGTATCATGTGTGTACTATGATGAACAGCTGTAATTAATATGAATTATTTGTCTGTTTAACTAAACAAAATCTTGTCTTCATAAGATATACATTGGGATTTTCATGGCCGGAGGACAAAGCCCGAGGACTTTTACTACAGGAATTGGTGAAAGGGGGCGTGTACACAACAAATACTTAATTTTGACACATCGTTTGTAAAAATCCGTCCATTATTAACAGAGGAGTAGTATTTCATAGAAATCGCCTTCACGTATTATATATAAGTATTCGTCATATCTGAAAATATTGTATTCTAGAAGTTTAAAAAAATGTTACATTACGTACCTATAAATTACTAAATTATTAATTTAATACTAAATATTCTCCTCTAGTTATTAAAGAAAAAAATTTGTTTTTATACTTTAAGTTGGCCGATTTGCATGGGATGAACATAAAAATATATGTTTTGTAATAACTTTAAATATATTATTTTCCGATACAACGATATATAATTTCTTAATTAACTGTTGCACCCTCTTGGTCAGGTTGTTTGCCTAAATTGAGACAGCGTAGGGGCTAGGCCGTGCGGCGCGCGCCGCACCATGTGAAAGCTCCCATAAGAACCAATGCACCTTCACCAAGTTGTCCGGCGTGGACGCCGCGCGGCGCTTTCGTCCGGCTGAAGGTGCATCCGGTGGTAACTCGCGCGCCGTGCGGCAAATTCGCCGCGCGGCGCGCGCCGGACATAGTGCAGGGTGTCTAGTTTATTTCCATTATAAAATTCAAGACTAATTCCAGACTTTTCAAGACTAATTCCAGATTTTTCAAGACTAGTTTTTTCAACAATTAGTGCGTGTTGATACCAAAATGTATCGATTCTCGATTCTTGATACTGATACCAATTTTTATAGCTTAACCAAATTTTCTGAATAATACTACACCAACCCCTGTCTTTGTCATAAAGTAGTATTATGATAATGTGGTGTTTTCAAGTAAAGAAATAATGCAGCAATAAAAAATTCTAACTAGCAAATTTGTTTTTTTTTTCATGAAATCTTCCATGTACCGTACGTTTAGACATCATCATTGACTGCAGCGGTTACAAAAACGTGATCGTCGTCGTCCGCGATCACGGCAAAATCATGAACATTTCCCGCGACCTTGTAGACATCAATGACATCATCGTCGTCTCCCGCTGTCTCAGAAACGTCATCGTCATCGTCCGCGATCGCGGCAAAATCATGAACATTTCCCGCGGCCGTGTAGACATCATCGTCGTCTCCCGCGGTCACGGAAACGTCATCGTTATCTCCCGCGGTCACGGAAACGTCATCGTCATCTCCCGCGGTCACGGAAACGTCATCGTCGTCGTCCGCGATCGCGACAAACTCATGAACATTTCCCGCGGCCGAGCATATATCATAGTCGTCTCCCGCGGTCACGGAATCGTCGTCTCCCGCGGTCACGGAAACGTCATCGTTATCTCCCGCGGTCACGGAAATGTCATCGTCATCTCCCGCGATCGCGACAAAATCATGAACATTTCCCGCGGCCGAGCAGATATCATCGTCGTCTACCGCGGTCACGGAATCGTCATCGTCGTCTCCCGCGGTCACGGAAACGTCATCGTTATCTCCCGCGGTCAAGGAAACGTCATCGTCATCTCCCGCGAACGCGACAAACTCATGAACATTTCCCGCGGCCGAGCAGATATCATCGTCGTCTCCCGCGGTCACGGAATCGTCATCGTCGTCTCCCGCGGTCACGGAAACGTCATCGTTATCTCCCGCGGTCACGGAAACGTCATTGTCATCTCCCGCGGTCACGGAAACGTCATCGTCGTCGTCCGCGATCGCGACAAACTCATGAACATTTCCCGCGGCCGTGTAGACATCATCGTCGTCTCCCGCGGTCACGGAAACGTCATCGTCGTCTCCCGCGGTCACGGAAACGTCATCGTCATCTCCCGCGGTCACGGAAACGTCATCGTCGTCGTCCGCGATCGCGGCAAAATCATGAACATTTCCCGAGGCCGTGTAGACATTATCGTCGTCTCCCGCGGTCACGGAAACGTCATCGACGTCGTCCGCGATCGTGACAAAATCATGAACATTTCCCGCGGCCGAGCAGAAATCATCGTCGTCTCCAGCGGTCACGGAAACGTCATCGTCGTCTCCAGCGGTCACGGAAACGTCATCGTCGTCTCCCGCGGTCACGGAAACATCATCGTCATCTCCCGCGGTCACGGAAACGTCATCGTCATCTCCCGCGGTCACGGAAACGTCATCGTCGTCGTCAACTATTGCGGCAAAATCGTGAACATTTCCCGAGGCCGTGTAGACATCATCATTGGCTTTTGCAGTCACGTAAACGCAAGACGACGATCGCGGCAAAATCACGAAAATTCCCGACTTTGAAATCAAATTTAAGACTAAATCCCGACTTTCAAGACCATTTTGAAATTCAAGACTAATTCCCGACTTTCCCGATTTTCCCGACTACTAGACACCCTGATAGTGTGAAGGGACTCATATACTCCCATAGCCCTTCGCCGGATCCGGCGGGCGCCGCACGGCACGCGCCGCGTGAAAGAGGCGAAAAGGCCTGTAGGCAAGATCGTTGTAGAGGAACAGTGCTTTGTAGCAGCTCTTATACGTTTGCAACAGTAGGCCTACTAGGCAAGCAACCTTAGTGATGCTGCAGCAATGTGGCCAAGTGTAGTTGACAGCCGCAAGCTCAGTTGGATGCGATTCCGGTTAAGTTAGTATGCACAATAAAACAATAAAAAAGCTACAAGCTAACTATAGGCTAGTTTGAACTTTATACAATAGTTTTTCAGGGCTAAACAAATTAATTTTTATTTTCAAACTTATGACCATAAGTTATCTTCCTAATGCTAAAACAATCACTTATTGAATCAAATTCTATAAAAATCGGAATTCAAGTGTAACTTACGTCATCAACATCAGTTCCAAATGCGACAGGATTTGAAATGGCTTCAGAAATTTCTTTGGCCACGTCTTGCTGTTCAGCAATGTCATCCATCATATCGTGAACTTGATCTACATCCCTGAAAATAAAAAATTTGTTACTACACATTATGTTCATATCAAAGCTAACCTGAACAATTTTGAAATCCGAGGCCAGCTCAAAAACAAAATGACAAAAACTGAATACCCAGCGATACAGTCTGTCCCTGACAAGAGATAGCTTCAGCAGTTGCAGTACAAATGTTAAATGCGCTGCCACTGAACCTGAGAGAGCTAAGTTAGAGACTTGAATATTTAAGGAAAAAATATCAAGGAGCTACTCCTGCAAAACCCGTAGGCCTACTAATCCGTTGAGTTTTTTTGAAGAGGCACCAACTCTTGACCATCCACCACCCACTAAAGCACTAAAGCTAAAGTTGTAAAAATATGTTGTTTTTGAAGAAGTTATTTTTATAAATGTTTGATGCTGTCTATTCGGCCCTGGCTGGTCAAAGACGAAGAGGAGGAAATAATAAGGTAGTCTATTCAAAGCAATTATTCTTGTTATATAGCTATTTAGGTTCTAAACTAATGTAAATAGTCCTAGTGGTTAAGCAGTTGTAGCTTACTCAAAGCGTTTATCTGACAGGAGCACTTTATCAGAACCCAGGAGGTTAGGGCCTAATTACTAATTGAAAGAAAAATTTGAATTGCATATCCATTAAAATCTATATTGTATCGGCCTAGTCAGTACATAGTATTTTAGCTCCGTTAGATTTTAATAATTTAGCAGCCAAAACACAACTCAAGTTCTTTAACCTACAAAATGTGGGCTAGAAGTTAATGAGTGAATTTGATCAAACTAGCCTAACTTAAATGTGTTAGACCAACAAATTATTCAAGGATTCTATTAGATTTAGGCATAGGCCTACCTATGTTGTTGCCTGAATTCTTGTAGGTAAGATGTTTATGTCACCTTAAACCTACCTACAAGAACTCCAAGGCAACAACAACTAAGATATCCAAAACAACCCAAGTTCTTGAAACTGGGATAACAAAAAAATAACGAAAAGGACTTGACTAGTGAACCCAAGCGGCTCAACATAGCCTAACATGTGAATTAAGAAAACAAATTCATTGTGTCATATATTGACTCTATGTCGAAAATAAAATACAGTAGGCCTAATAAAGCCTTAGAAGGAAAGCAGTCCAGTTATTTTCTAGCTGTGTATGAGTCTTATATTGAGTAAAATAATAAGTTTTGGGCTCAAGCCCTAACCTACAACTTCATCAAAAATGTAATACTGTTGGGCTCAACTACAAGTGTAAACCTTTATTTTGAGACCTCAAACGTCAAAATCGGGCAAATAATAACGGAGTAGTTTAACTAACAAAAAACGGCTTAGCCTATTATGTCGAGATTATTGATTAAACTTTAGCCCTATAATAAAGTACACATAAACTACAGAGTTGTACACAACCTTGAACAAGAATTGATCTACTTTCACAGACCTAGCTGGTGGCTCTTAACAATTCTGGATGCACGTACGTAGTCCTTCATCAAACATCTTAGTAGGCCTACAGTAGGCCTAATAAAGCCTTTACAGAGACAAAGATATTGGCATTTTACAACCTAATATTTCACTTGTTTATCATCGAGTTTTTAAACTTAGCAAATTCTAACCTGATACCTTATCTAAATCTACAATCTTGAGACAACACAGGCAACACCATCATTTAAAACTTGTGCTTAACTGAGTGACAATTTAATTTGCATACTGTCAATTTAGTTAAAGAGTTTACGTCAAGGTACAAAAAGAGAAAAAGTGGGAAATGTAGTTTCAAAACTTAAAACCGCCTTAAAATACGAAATCTGAAAGAAACTTACATGTGTTGGTGTGCAGCCTTCAGTGCTTCGGCAGCGTTTTTCATGGTTTGCAATACCGCCGTGTTGGTATTTGCTCCTTCCAACGCTTCTCTCTGCATTTCAATTGTAGACAAGGTGCCATCAATTTGCTGCAGCTGTTTCTCATAGCGCTTCTTTCTCTTAAGTGCTTGAATGGCGGCTGATTTGAAAAACAAATTAAAGTTTCAGATCTCAATTTGTAATTGTAGGCTATAGGCCCTAACTCCATAAATAAGACTTAAATAAAACCTCAATTTGTAAATGTAATTCAAGTGTGTTACATGGAGTTGGGTGGGGTTACACTTGATTCGAACTTGTTAATCTAATGGGACAATTCAAAGCTGTCATTTCAAGTAGGCCTAAGTGCAAGCATAATTCAAGGCTTGAATCAATCTTACGAAAGGAAGATAGGTTGGACTTACTTAATGCGGATTTGTCTCTATTTAAGTAGGTACTATGAAGATAGGTTAGATTATCTTAGGTAAGATTAAGTTTAAGTTATAATTTGTACAAGCCTATGTAAGATACATATATAGTTTAACATTTGAACGAATGGTGTTTTTGGCCTCTGGGGACATCAGTATGGAAAAGTAGCCTAAATCGGTCCCGGGCCTAGGTCTTACCATGAGACTTCCGGTAATAACTACTTCCCTATAAGTTTAGCCTAGGGAAATTTGCTAAAAAGGCCAAAATATGCCATTTAGCCTAGGCTACATCAAATAAAACAATAGGCCTAGGCTAGGTCTGGTTAACAGTAGGCCTAATAAGCTTTTAATAACTAAGTTAAGTTTCGGCTATGGGAAGGGAAACTAGGACTGCTAGGTAGGCCTAAACGGAAAACGTAGGCTAGGCCTAAGCCTAGTCTACCTTACAACACAGATATATATATAGGTAAGCCAAGCCTAGAGCTTACCTCTCTTATTTTTTGTTCCGTGTTTCCTGGCTGTCTGCAATTCCTGTTCAACTTTCTTTTCCAAAAACTCTTGTTTCTTAATCAACATTTCTTCTGTTTCCCTTAATTTTTGTATGGCTTCCCCAGTAGAAGGTGCCTTTTCTTCTTTCTTGCCCCCGAACACTTTACTGAGGAAACTCATGTTGATTATTTATAAAAATTAGGTTCCTATTAAAAGGTGAAAGTCGGGACTACAATAAAATGATCTATAACAAGAAATTTGATTATAAACAAAATATAACCAATTTTGCTAGAATACAAGTTGAAGTTGCCTTGCGTCCACTCCTGCGATGACACCAGAGCAGAGACCAAACCAGACACCATTGACACAAAGCACCTTCTTCTTACGCTTACGATTTACGAACAATGATGAATGCACTAATCATATGGAGGAAGAGAATAAGGAAGGATGATGACTAAAGATGACTGGATAGTGGATCTGAGAAATCAGTCAGTGCTTACTATATTAGAAAAGAGGACATGTAACACTGTGGAAGACCTACATAGCATTACTATGTCTTATCTATGGCATTATGTAGCAAAACTCAACATAATTAAACCATTAAACTACAAGGAGGTCGTGATTAAACCGATTAAACGATGTAAAATACGAGTATTTCATTCTGCATTAAAGTGGAATATATTATAACCAGTGTTCTAAAACATACTTCAAAGGCAATATTACAGTAGAAGAAAAGAATTTATTTATAAGAATAAATACCTCTGCCTTAAAAAATAAGGTTGCCAAAGACACAGAAAAATAGTACACATAAAATATCGAAAGATTATACAGTTATAAGACTGATTAATTTTGATGTTTGCCATATAGATGATTTCTCATTATGGTCAATGAACCTCTTAATGTTTCATGAATAATAATTTTCAAAAAGGATCTGTCCAAATCATATTGTTTCCAAAAGTTCACAAAAAATTTTGATAATGTTCCTCTAGAACCAATAAACAATCCAATCACCTCAATTTTCGAAATTTTAAAATTTTGCTTGAAATATTCAAAGGTAGAATCATAATTTTTTTTCTTTTCTTCATTTACTTCGTTAGCTTGATTTATGTTTACTTCAAATCGAATTGTAGGATCGAGAATCATGCCTTTGTTAGTTTCTCTTTCGATTAATAAAATATCTACTCTTCTGGTGCTTCCGTTAGAAGAAAGACAGTGTACTTCTTCTTGCACTTCCCATGTATTATACCTTTTTCGGAAGGCATTTGCTATGATACTTCTTATTTTGTGGTGCCTTGTGTTTCTTAGAAGTTCACCAAACGGACAGAAGCCAAGGGCATGTGCAAGGGTTTCAATATCTCACCACAGGCATGCCTGCAGCGGTTATTGCCCTGACTTCTGCCGTGGAGAACACGCATTGGCACCACATTTGCAATCATTTTTATACTGTCTTTTCCACTCAGATTCTGACAAGCCTTCTTTATTAATAATACTTTTATTTCCCGGAGTATAGTCCATGAAAAGTTCAACACCTTTACCCTTCTGTTTTATGCTATTCCAATTTTCAAACTCTTTTTCTCTTAAGTCATTTCTTAATTTTTGGGTATTTATTGTTTGATTACGATCAATTTCTTCTAGGTGTAATTTTTTTAAACAAATTGTTTCTATCCGTTTAAATTTGTCTTCATTTATTGTATAACAATTTTTAACCCGTCTGAGTATTTGAATAGAATTAAGTTGTTGAATATATGCTTCCCATTGAGCCTTGATTAATCCAAGTCCTTTATATTTTTTTGGGCTATATAACATAAAATCTGGAGTGTCAGTTGGTAAGCTTAATATTTCTTTAACACTACTTTTAACCAGTTTGTCTAAGTCAGTTAAAAATGCTACTGGTAATTTATGGAGTGGAGCATTTTGAAATGGATATATTAACGTTGGCCATATACATTGATTAATTATATTAAACTTTTGGCTTGACAAAAGTAATGTAGTCGATGTTAGTCTTTCTAATTGGGATTTGAATTGTTTAATTATTCTTTCTTTATTAAAAACGATCCCTTGGGAAAAGTTAACACCTAAATACTTTATGTTTTCACTATCTGAAATACTTTTTATGAATAAGTTTTCATCTAACCAGATATTACTTTCAACTAGAAGCCCTTTTTCAATCACGATAGACTGACATTTGTTGGGGTTTATTTCTAGTCCGATCGAATTAAGTAAATTAATGGCCATTCAAGCGCACAGCTGATTTCTAGCGTTGAACGTCGTTGGCTCCATAGAGGTATATTTTGTTAAGTTAAGCACTCAATGTTATTTAAATGGGTTTCATTACCTCACCGAGTGAGTTTTTCTGAACTTTACATCACTCGAGAAGTAAAGAAGTTGTATACATCACGCTTGGGATAGGGAAGTTTAACATGGCGGGTTAGGTAAAATAACTTACGTATCAATTCATTTGTAAATACTTAACTAGCATAACTTAACTTACATAATATTAGTTTAAACATATTTTGAGATAGGTCTAGGGTAAAAAAAAACTTTTAATAAACAAACGGATGAGCAAAAACTTGAAAGTAGACTAAAGTAAAAGCAAAGCGCAGACTAGTTGGTACAACCTGTCCTGTGTGCTATCATTGACTTTATTTATTCAATTCATTGTAAACGTTGTAACAGAATCTGAAAATGATAAATCTGACATCTGATATATGTCACAGTTCCACGGAACAGTTTACTCCCGCATGCGCATTAATTATGAGAGGACTAATCCGCGATTGAAACGGATGTGTTTCCATTGGCTGTAGGCCTATGGGCAACTATTGGGCAACTACTAAGGCAGCTGTGTCTAAGGAACATGTCGGTCTTAGTCACAACTCACAACAAGACCACTAGATCGCACCACTCACCTCCATTCATAAGTGGCTTAAAATACCCTACCCATGTAGCACAGATGGTTGGGCCAACGTTGGTAAATTGTGGAGCCACACAGTTTGCCAACGGTAGAAATGTCACCTCTTTAAACTGTTTTCCAGCCAACCATTGTCCAACCGTTTTATTTCACACAAAATAATAAAGATTTAGTACGAAAAGCATAATTATTAGTTGAGTAAATTGATTAAATAGTTCATAAAAACAAATTTTGAAAAAAAAACTAGAACAAAATTTTTTTGGCCCAGACGGGTCTCGAACCCGGGTCCTTCGACTTATGAGCCTCTTACTTTACCACTGAGCTATCTGTGATTGCTGATATAGAGAGTTTTCAAGTGGTGAAAGAGTAGCCGACAGTTGCAATGGTCGCAATACTTCAAACATTTTTGATACTACACAGTATAATATGATTCTGTTAATCTGTTAAGGCATCATAAGTAGTTTTTTTTTTTGGAGTTAGAGAGGATACTGGTATTTGAATGATTAATTAATTACCGTTAGATTGTTAATGCTATTATAATTGCCTGTTATATGATTAATTACTCTTTCCCCTTAAATTGTTGCAAATAAGTTAAAGAATATTAATTTAAAAAATATTTACATTATTAAAATTATTAAAATTCATTGTTGTAGCGCCGGAACTGTAATATATAAAATATCTGGTTTTACAATACCTTTATCAGTTCCAAAAACTTTTGGAAACTTTTGGAACTGATAAAGGTATTGTAAAACCAGATATTTTATTATAATTATGTTGTGAAAGCTAGACCCAGAGAATGAAAGTCGTGTAAACTCAACTATGGACCATTGTTGGTCCAACAAAAGTATCATTTGTTGGTCCAACGGAGTGAAAAACGGTTGGACAACGGTTGGCTTGATGTATGATACCCAGCAATGCATATTAATGTATTTCATTAACAATGTTGGTCCACAGTTGTAAATATTGGTTGGCCCAACTACGAGATATACAGTTGGACAACGGTTGGTTGGTTGTGGAAGCTCCAACCAACCATCGACCAACTGTCCCACAGTTGGCCAACGTTGGCCCAACCATCTGTGTTACATGGGTACATTCATATGGTCGGCATTTCAGAATAAAGTATAAAGTAAAGTACTAACTACTGTATAGTACAGTCAGTATATCTTGCTCAGCTTGACCTATATTAAGGAACCTGTTTCCCATAAAGCGATCGGAGCAACACACGTACATTAGAAGAAAGACCAACTCGATGTTCCATTCTGTAGGCTGAATAAGAAGACGATTTCCCTCCCATTACTAACAATCACAGTATCGTAGTATTCGTGCTAGCAATTAAAAACATGGCCACCTCCATATAAACAAAATGTAGCTTCGTACTGAATTAAGGCTGCGGCCACACGGGCGTTTTTTCACGCAAGAATGCAGCGTGAAAAAACGCAAGAAATATGAGCAGCATTAAATGTAACGAGGTATGCCACACTCAGTGTGTTTTCCCGCATTTGCGGGCGCCCATTTGTTTCAATGCTACTCTAATTTTTCGCGTGTTTTCACGCTGCGTTTGTGCGTGAAAAAAACGCCCGTGTGGCCGCAGGTACGATGTCATAGCTTATAATGGCATAGCTTATAATTGCGAATTTGTTGCATAGCTTATAATCTTGAAAATGTGGCATAGCTTATAATGGAAAATTTAAATTGTTCCATAGCTTATAATCGTAGAAATGAGGCATAGCTTATAACGGTTTTCTTAAAATGTGGCATAACTTATAATGGCATAGCTCAAATGTGCTGCAGCTTATAAAATCTCGTTTGTTCTATAGCTTATAATTTTAAAAACGTGGCATAGCTTATAACGCGCGGGAATTACGTCATAGCGGATGGGACAGCTGATCGATCCTGAGTAGACAAAAAAATTATCGTGCAATGGTCCTCAAATTATCGTATCGACTAGCAGCCGCTACTCGGCAATAAGAAGTCGCGTTAAGTGCAGCCAACGTAGCAAAACCAAAAGTATTTCAAGTTTTTTTTACTCCTGGACGACATATGTAATAGATGTATATATTAAATGGTTTTTGTTGAATAATAGAATAATTTGTTGTATCTGCTGTTTTACTTTAATTATGTAAGCTGAAATATATTATCATAAGTTTGATATTGCTCGTGTTGCTTATTTATGCTATGCATGATAACTATTGTATAGGTAATATTTATTTTGTAATATTGTTTAATACCGGTGTAAAAATACTTTTTCATAGATAAAACCGTAGACTATGCAACATAAGTAGACTTCTCCATTGTTGATTTTGAAGCTTGTTTTTCGTGTCTATTTCATGTACGTCGACACTGATCGCTAGTGTAAACGAAATCTTGTTTCTATTATATTAGGGTAATTTTATGATTTGTGCTTTACTGTTTGGTTATATATAACTAGGAGACCAGTTATTTTTATGATTAGATAGTTTTATTTGGTTAAATTAGGTTTTAAATAACTGAAATAACAATATTAAGAAACATATTGTAAAAAAAACACAACCTCTACAGAAGTTGGCATAGAATAGCAATAAAATTGGCTTCAGCTTTTCAACAAGAATGACAAATCTTCTAAGGGACTTAATGTTTGATCTATGATCAAAACATGTTTAGTAGATTTGTCATACTTATGGAGCAGCTTAAGCCCAAATTTTAGTTTTATTTCTGTACGGTGCAATGTAGATTATAGAGTTCATGTTTTGTTTACAATTTGTTTCTTATTATTTCACTGTTTACGCCTTCATTTAGCCAAATAAAACGATCTTGTCATGTAGCGGTCAGTGTCACAGGACAAGAACTACAAAACAGTGCAACCCCCATTTCTGTAAACATTATGTTTCAAAAGTTAATGCAACTTTTCTGTTAAAAAGTAACCCAAGCATGATTTTTTATTGCAAGAAAAATTAAAATATTCTTCCCAAAGATCGGAAACATACGTTTGACAATAGTTTTGTCCATTGATGTAATTTCTGTAATATCAAAAATGACAATAGACAATAGACAAAGCTTTATTGTACATAACGCCTGATACAATAATTACAAAAGTAATTCCCAAGCTGGTACATGGTCAATTTATATCTAATTTATATCTAGGTTCCTTAATCTAATTATACCCTGACAAGAGTAAAAACTATTACAATTTATCTTTAAAAAACGTCTGAATTTTGTAATACGCTTTTTGGCTCAAAGTCTCTTTCAGTTTATATGTAAAATTTGATTTTGATAAAGTTCTGTATGAATTAGGTAAATGATTGTAGATTTTTAATCCCATGTAAAGAGGCCCAGTTTCAAATTTTGTGTGCGAATGTTTGGGATATTGAAAAGTTTTGTTATTATTTCTCGTTTGATAGTTATGATTTATCTTATATTTTTCAAAAAAGAAAGGATTTGCATGAACATACTTTGCTATTTCAAATATATAAAGATAAGGTAATGTTAAAATGGAATGTTTTTTGAAAAAAGGTTTACAGCTTTTTTTAGACTTCTGGTGAAAAATAGTTCTGAGAATTGACTTTTGGCAAGTGAACACTTTCTTGGCCTCTACAGAGTTACCCCATAGAGTGACGCCATAAGCCAGCAAAGAATGAACATACGCATGATATACTGTCAAGCAGACTTCTAGCGGCGTGACCTTGGATAGTACACTTAGTGAATAGCCTACCTTGTTGACCTTAATTTTTTATTTAGATGATGAATGTGATCAGACCAACTTAATTTTGAGTCTAAATTTAGACCTAAAAACTTAACAATTTTTGTATTACTGATTGTGGTGTCTGTAACTCTGTTTCTGAGTTTAAATTGAAGAATGTTAGTTTTACATTCATTTAATTTCAGGCCATGGCTCTCAAACCATTCATTGATTTGTTTAATTGTGCTGTCAAAAGTTAATTTAAGTTCACTTAGTGTTTTTCTTTTTAAAAGAGCAGTTGTGTCATCGGCATACAAAGTGAAAGCACAGGAATTTGTGGAAAGGCAATTAGGCAAGTCATTAATAAATATAATAAATAATAAAGGCCCAAGTATGGAACCTTGGGGAACACCATATGTAACGCTGGCCCAGTTAGAATAATATTTTATTGATTTTTTTATTACTATTGTGCGCTGCTTTCGATTAAATAGGTATGATCGTAATAATTCTAGTGCCATTCCCTCTCCAAGCCAATATTCTTCAATTTGATCAGCAGCACCCTGTCAGTCAAAAGCCCTGGATAAGTCACAGAAAACTCCTGCAGTCAACTGTGACTGATCCAGAGCTTCAAGGACACTACTAATATAAGTAAAAAGAGCATTATGTGTGCTTAGATTTCTTCTAAAACCCACTTGCAGAGTCGCCAGAAAACTGCCCCGCGGACAACTACCCCCTGGCAGGTTCCTACGTCATGAACTGTTCTTAACTAACCTAACCTAACGAACCAAACTTGCTGTAACATTTCAAAAATTCTGTTTGATATACCACACACGCCTTTTCTGTTATCAAAACGGAATTACTCGAATTAAAGTTACAATGATAATTGTTAAATATGAAATCAGCTCTAATACATAGCATCATATATTTAGCAAGGACAAGGAAAGAGGTGGCCGTGCAAGGAGGGGTAGTATTCCAGTCGCGGACACGGCATCCATATTAGTTAGTTGGCAGATTTCGTGAGGTCACATTTCACATGTGAGGGGGGTGGTTTTCCAGGGATTAGTATTCCGCACCCCCCCCCCCATTTGAGCAAGTAAAGTAAAGTAAAAACGTACGTTTTTAAATTTTCACTCATATATCGAACCTCTCGGTAGAGGAATGAAGTGATTGGCGCCGTTAAAATATAGCCGCGACAGTGACATTAAGGTTTGAAATTTTAATGTTTGAGACGTTCCAATACTCACAAAATCCAAAGACAAATGCTAGTTTTTTTGTCTAGTGAAATCACATTGAAAAATTCCCTGACTTTTCCCTGGCGATTCCATGATTTTTTAAAACTTTCCCTGATCGACGAATTCAAAATTACAATTTTAATACTAACTAAATCTTCAAAAGGACTAATCTTTATCTGAAGAATATCTTATGTTTGTTGACTTGAAAAAATACATAAAATCTATAGATTCAGGCTTGTAGCTTATATTTAAACTTTGCAGCTTGCTTTAATAAAATTAAACACAGTTTGATAAGATGATACACAGTTTATAACAAAATTTAATTTGTACAAAAACACAAAATTTATTTGTACAAACATATGTTTTAGTTTTCCGTGACACGGCATACGTACTTTCACCAGATCGACCTTTACTAACAATTATTTTAAACATTTTACAATTTTCCCTGACTTATGACAAAATTCCCTGACTTTTCCAGATATTTAATATTCCCTGACATTTCCACGTCACTATAGCCACCCTGAAAAACTATAAAATTGAAGTGTAGATCTCATTGTCCAATTTGTTACAGTATAACTGTACGTAGCTCAAGGCAATCGTATGAAAGATAATTTATTATTTATAGCTAAAGTGTGTTATGGCGGATACGTCTATATTGAAATACACTCCCACTAACTACAATCGCAAGCCAGAATCAAACCTGCAGCCCTTCCAAGTGTATTAAATTTTCCAATTAATTTCACCATTGGCAATTATACTCTTGTAACCTTTTGTTTGGAATAATACTGTGTTATGGGAACAATGTGTGTGCAATGACGATTATAATACAAACATTTTAATCAAATTACGTTAATTTTAACACAAATAATTGAACATTTATTATCACTGACTATGTATCAATACCAATTAATTAGATCAAAATGGATACAAAATGTACTTATCAGTATCTGAATCTGAAAACATGTGCTCAAGAACAGGAGGCCAAAACATAACATAAAATGTAACGGCTTGTACGACCCACTAAGAGTAATTATAACACTAATACAATAAATAATATATAGTTACTTACAACTGGACGTCAGACACAAAACACTTAAGGAATCAGAGATAATACGGATGAGTTTTTTTCCATAATGCGGACAAATTGAATTTTGGTTGAACTAAGACGTGAAATTTCGGGAGCGGTATGTATAAGTTGGTGAGGATGAAATGAGTTTTTCCTAACTTAATTTAATTCCAAACAAATTATATCCCTGGCAATTATATCCCTGCGGGATATAGGCTTTAGGGTTTGTTGAAAATTAAATTTTTGCCAACTAACACTGCAAACTACGAATTGATTTGCACGACTCCACTTAACAACTCACCCCACGCATAGGAAGGTTGGAGACACACTGGTCACTGAGACAGACCCTTGGCTAGAAGCTTTCCCCACCACGTCGTAGGGCCGTTGAGTAAGTCGCCTATGTCTAATCAGCTGACTGGATTTGCGTTTCTAATTTGCTGTTTATATTGCATCACATTCGGTACAAAAGAAAGAAATTTAAATTTTGCTTGTCGCTTGTTTTGGGCAACACACCAAGTATTAGTTGCAACCCAAACTTGAGCATAAAAGGGGCTTAACTTAGGCCGCATAATCAGGGATAACCCTGATATTTACCTTAGGCCGCCTAAGGTAAATATCTGGGCTATCCCTAGGGTTGGCAGCGCCCGGAGCAAACGTGGTTGTGGCGCCCCCTCCCCACCAGTAATAATAGTCGCATTCACATATTTTAATCAATTTTATGTATAGATAATGAGAAAAAAGTTATAAATGAACATAATATTTGTATTAGCAAGCCTATTCTTTAAATATAATAATCTTAAAAATTTGGTTGTCCGGATGCAGATTAACTCCTAGGGAGGAATTTGGAAATCCATTATGTCTTACTGGGATAATTATGAAGTACTTTTATTTAAGGACTGGTCTTGGTTGTGTTACTTACTTTTTTTAAAGTAGAAAATCAATATGATTGGGCTCAATAATGGAGTGTATTTTAATGTTTCATCAAGAATAATAGGCGAACAACATTAAACATTTTGTTTTATAAAATATTTTTTAGATAAGGGTAAAGACCTTAATAAAACACAACAATGAATCATATTAGGTAGTCTATAAATTGGAGAAAGTTTTACTGTTTAAAAAATACTTCTTACAACACAATTGAAATAAATAAAGATTATAAGGCGAAGTTAATAGCTGAGCAACCCTTCTGCATTCTTCTGTCATGATATCCTGAAACAAATAAACAATAACTCAAAATTGTTATCAAAACTAAATAGAGAAAGGGGTGTCTTGTTAGCTTGGTGGTTAATTTGTCCTGGACTTTGCTGCAAGAGAAATTGAGATTGACTTAAAGGATCCTTGCACAAGGTGAGAGGATTCAACATAATTTTTCCATGGATATTGCACACACTTGCCCAGCACAGCACAAACCTGCTAACAGCATGCTACTATTAAAATTAAAGTAAAGTAAAGTACTGTAGAACCAAATCAGATTACGCTCTTGTGTCCACCATAGCACTATAGAACACCATAGAGCACTAAACGGTTTTCATAGTCTTTTATCAATTAAGTATTAAATGTATCCATTCAAATACATACAAATTATAACCCAGTGAATGATTGAAATACATGTCATGATGAAACCATACAGCGGTAGCCCAAGTACAGCTTCATAAAACCATGTGCTAGTTGGTCTGACCATACTGGGCAGGAGTAGAGTGGCCAGCTGTGCTGCGGTTAGCGTATATTCCGGCGCCGACCGCCAGGGGTAATGTGTAGTTACGGCGCAGCATCAAGTGCTAGCGACCGTTTCCATAACAACTTGGTAGTTGGGAGTTAGTGTTGACAACTTTGGAGGAATCCCCCGGAATTGGAGTTTACTGACTTATTTAATATTAAGCAGTAAATTAATTTAAATGCCATCTTTTATTGTATTTTTTTTAAACATATATTTGTTATACTTTTGTAGTTTCATTACAATGATTCAAAGTTTTTCTTTATTAATCCATAATTTTAGGAAGTGGTTTATTGGTAGGTTTTGTTTTATATTTGCAAGGTCAAAATAAAATTTAACCAGGATGTCTAGTAGTCAGGGAAAACGGGAAAGTCAGGTATTAGTATTGAATTTCAAAATGGTCTTGAAAAGTTGGGATTTAGTCTTTATTTTGATATCAAAGTCGGTAAATTTTATGATTTTACCTCAATCGCGCTAGACAACGATCAAGTTTCCGTGACGGCACAAGACGATGGATGATGTGTCTATACGACCGCGGGAGATGTGCTTAAACCGCGACTGTGCTAGACGACGTTTTCGTGACCACGGACCACGGGAAAAATGATCACGTCTTTTCTGCGATCGCGCAAGACGATTGTATATACGGCCGCTGAAGATGTTCACAATTTTGCCGCAATTGTGGATGACGATGACGTTTCGTGACCACGGCATTCAATGATGATGTCTACACAGCCGCGGAAGATGTTCATGATTTTGACGCGATTGCAGAAGATGACAATAGCGAATAGTAATCATTTCGTTTGCAAAAGTGGTAGTGCTGGTAACAGCTGGCAAGTAGTCGACGACGACACTGAATCGAATACTGATAACTGATATCAAACGGCAAAAACGCTCTAGCGGCAGATTGCAAAACCTTTCTTTGACTGTCTATATTTACTCTATTGTCTATGAATATAGTATTACACATCTACCATAGCCATAATGTTCTACCACCTCACCCAAACAAAAGAAAAAAATTAATTATTAAAGATTCATAAAATATCACAAATTATTCGTGAAATTAACAAACATAAACATAACTGTAAACAGACAGTTCTCATTGTGTATCACAGTTTTTTGTTGCTGCTTAGTTCAAATTAGCTGTTTTCATAAATGAAAAAAAATAATAGTGCTGCATCCTGTTGGTAAATCTTATAACTTTAAATGCCTTTGCATATCATAGAACCAACGTTTTTAGTTGAAACAGCTGACTAAATTCTTTAATTCCATTTAAATATGAGAACTCATAAGGTTAACATGGGAAACTCTAGAGCCACTGGGGCGGAGCCCGAAAGGATTTTTGAGATGAAAATATGCCTCTATGTTAATCGTGAATGTGAGCTATCATCATACCAAATTTGAGCCCAATCCATCCAGTAATCAACACGTGATTGAACTTCAAACACACAAACAAACGCACAAACTTTCACATTTATAATACTAATAAGATAGTAGCCTTTCTCATTTCACATGATCTGACAAGCACGGTGTCTCATCAAACTAGTATAATTGTTTTTGTTCAAGCTCCTATGTATGAGCAATCGATGTATCTAAGGTTTAATGGGTGTTGCGGAAAAATAACTAATTTAATTCTGTGCTGGTATTAAAATTTTTTTACCACAAAAAGATGTGAAACTACTTTACTGTTACCAGTTGTGTGGGGGCAATAAACTATAAACAAATAACTTGGTCTTTCCACATATTTAGACTGGTGTAGTTGTACAGCGTAAGTCTCCGGTTCCGAAGATAACGGATTCACATCCTGGAAATCACCATGACAATTTGACAGATGGCCACCCTGTGCGTTGCTCCTCATGAACGTTGGTGCAGCCATCTTTAAATGCCCTTACCCACCTGCGTAGGTACCATTCCGCCACTCATAATTTTCTCCCCATACACTTCACTAATCTGTCAATGAATTTAAATGGCTTTCACACCTTTAGCACTTAACAATCTAATTACCGGTACAGCGTAAACTTCACAGGCGACGGCAGTCTCAATTGGCGACACCGTTTTGAATGCTCTAAACCGGATGTAAACACAGCCGATTTTTGCCGAATTTCCAGCGCAGGATTGCCAATACATGCACATACACAGCACAAATGTCCAAAATGCCAATCGCAGCACTGAAACGGAGAAATTTAAAAACAGTACTTACTTAAATAACATGCCTTGTATTATTCTGTCACCATAGGTAACTCTGAAACTTGAACAGTGCTGTAAGTTGATTAAAGTGTCTTTTTTCCCAAATATAAAAACTTAACCGCCACAGCACATCATAAGTTAATGTTAAACAAGGACTGAAAACGCTTCTTAGTCATATTGATAGCTTAGCCAAACTTACTTACCGGTATCTTTATTGCTTCCGATTCTTTTCCAAGAAAATTTCCCTCCTTCTTATTTGGCCCCAAATAAGCAGACAATTCATCAATATTGTTTACATGTGAAGTACTCTCATACATTAACACCAAACATTTGTAATGCTCCAAGCTTTAAACTAGAAATTTTACCTGGAACAAAAATAGGCAGTGTACATTATTCAGACCTTCTTCTTGTTAAAAGTAATTTAAAAACAGAATATAGAAACAATGACTCAAGGTAGGGCATATTTTCTTTCCACATATATTTGGATTGGTAAATAAAAACTTAAAAACTCGAAGGCCACTGGTTCTCTCGGACCCAAGTGTCATTACCCTAATAAACTGTGTTTTTTATTAAAACATTAATTAATAGCTTAGTATAAAATAGGCCTAAAGCTATCAAGTTTGATTTATAAAAATAAATATATCCTATATATTTATATAGAGTAAAATATAAATTAAGCTTTTTCTTGGTTGCAAAACATAAACAAATAAAAAGTAGAAGAATGTAATTCTTATGGGACAAATTTAAAAATGTATTTTTAGGGTTTTATAATTACTACTGAACGGAATTGTCTAAATTTTACAGTGTCTTTCCATTGGTGTCATAATTAAGATTTGTGCAATTTTTAAACACTATAGATGCAATGGTTAGCTTGAGTTTTTTATGCGAACACTTACACACACACACAGTCAAGCGGACAACTAATCCACGACTCCGCTAAGTTCAAATTCAAATAGTTTATTGCCATTAAGTATACATGTCATACAATAGGCCAGGTCAATGGAGATAATATACAATTCAAAGTACAATGTACAGAGTCAAGTGTAAATAGATTAACATGCTATACTAATAAACTAATAATACTGGGTTTTTGTACAAAAGTATTTGAGATGTATTGATAATGATGATAATAATACTGTTTATAGTTAAGCAAACAAGTTGGGTAAGTGCCTATAACAAAATAATTAAGGCTAAAATTGGCAGTGAGATACAGCTTAAAACTAAATAACAATAAATTTTTAAATAAAGTTCACAGAAATAACATTATTATGAAAGACTATTATATCACAGTTCATGAAACCATTATTACATACTTTAGAAACAATACCCTACTTAACAATTAGAATTTTACAGAAAATCATCATGTTTGAAAGATAAAAATTCCTCGATAGAGTAGATAACCTTTCTGTTCAAAAAATCGGTCAATACATTTTTCAGTGACTTAATAGGCAAGTTGCATACATTTTCAGGGATGGCATTGAAAAGTTTAAGTTGTAAATATTTATAGCTGCGCTGTGTTGAGGCCAGTCTTAATGATGGTAACTCTAAATTATTCCTTAGTCTGGTGTAATGATTGTGAGTTAATGAGCGAGATGAGAATTGTTCAATATTTGTTTTTACAAAAATTATATTCTGCAAAATGTACACACTTGGTAAAGTAAGAATTTTGTATTCAGGAAAAAAGGTCTTACAACTAACTCTACTTTTTATGCCAGCTAGGATACGGATTGCTTTTTTCTGTTTTTTAAAAACGTTAACTGCCCCGCTACTACTGCCCCACAAAATTACCCCATAAACTAAGTGACAATGGAAGAATGCATAATAAACATTAATTAACATACTTAAACTAACATGATTTTTCAACCTCCTGAGCAGAAACAAAGAGTTACTTAACCTTGCAACAACCATTTCAGTATGACTACGCCAAGATAACTTACAGTCTAATATGATTCCTAGCAGTTTAGCATTTGATACTTCAGATACAAGATTTGTCTGTGAAAAAATAATTGAAACAGTTTTGTCATTGTTTACTGAAAATTTATTTGCCTTAAACCAACTATCGGCTGCTATTTTCATACCCTCAGTTTTAAGTTATACACAACACGATACATAGATGACATATTTTTTTTTTTTTTCTTTAGAAAGGTCTAGAGAATAATTGATAAATTTTGTGTTTTAAGGGTAAAAAATTAGAAAACACCATTTTTTGGCCTAAGCCCCTTCTCTGCATAAAACTCATTAAAACCCGGTCCCATGGCCCGATCATGCTAGTTCGCGAACTCATTCAGATTTATCCCGCCTTACACCTTCAAACCAAATTTTCATTTGATTTTACGTTATGAAACAAACATAATTCAAGGATATGCCTTTGCCAATTACAATCAATTGTAAGTATGGTGGGCTAATATGTTCTCAGGTACTTAAGTTGTGTCACAATTTCATTTTCTCAGGTACGTGTTTTTTTGCCATAAGTTAACTGCATGGTTTGCTGCCTTGTTTACTGTGTGAAATTAACCTAACTTAAGTTTTGTGACGTTGCCTATTGTAAGTTATTTTATAGCCTAGGCTACTAAATTTCCATTCATACTTGGCTTCCTACCTAATATGTATGGTCGCCATTTCATTGAACAGTATTAACAGTATTAATGGTAGAATAAGTTAAAGGGTACAGTTTCTTAACTGGGCTACGCTAATTTTATTGAAACTACCGATTCGATTAGTAAACCTACATGCGATTTTTTCACCATCCAAATAGTTTGGTTGGTTAGTTACTTAGGTTATGATAGTTTAATTTTATAATAAACTTAGATATATTTTAAAATATCAATTATTAATCACTATTTTTAATTCGATAGTTCAATAAACAATATTAACTTAAGTTAGCGTAGCCCAGTTATGAAACTGTAGGCCTACCCAAGTTAAATCTCTTGGCTCAGTATTATCACGCTTACCATTTCTAAGGTTACACTTCCATAAGTTATCTGTTGGCACAAACAACCGAATGAAAATATCGATCGATATACGGTATCGATTATTCGAAATATCGTTTGGTATCATTATTAGCCTACTCATTCGGTTGTTTGTGCCAACAGATATGGAAGTGTACTCATTTCGAACATAGCCTACGCTTACTAGGTATCAGTAAATTCAAGCATCCATAGGCCTAGTATTTTTTTATTTTATTTTTTTGAAACTTTCAAATTTGTTTCCTTGAAAGATAGGCCTACAAGTTTTATTTTGTTGTTGTAAATAATTTATATTTATATTTAAAAATTGACACAGTCTATCCAGCTCTGCTGGTCAACAACGCAGCTTTGGTAATAAGGTAATAAGTAACCATTTTTTATATAGGCTACTAAGTTAGGCCTAACCTAACAGTAACTTAAGTTAGTTAGCCTATATTTCTTATTTTTAAGCACGCTGCTTCAAAAACAGACAATTCCTAAGTTAATACACCTACCTTAAAATCTTCCTTTCTAAAATCTTGTTTAAGAATGTAGGCCTAAGTCATTAGTTGAATAGGCTGCACTTTGGTTTACGTCCTACACTCATTCTAATGAAAAATATCAGTTAGATTATTCGATATTTCAATTAGGCTATTTCATTAATAACCAAACTTGATAGCCTGGGAATATAGGCCTACTCGAACACTTGATACTCATTCGATCGTTGAATACATTCACTGATATTTTTATTAAGTTAATTGTTTATGCCTGTCACAGGAAATCTGTAACTTAAGTCACAGCTAACTTAAGCTTAAGTAGGCTAGACAACTGTACCTACTAACTTAACCTAATAACACTCAAGCAAATAATAGCAATAGCCTACTGCATTTTGTTAATTTTGTTACTTTGAATAACAAGGCCTAGCCTAGGAACAGGATTAGATTAAAACACAACTTACTGGATTTCAACATAGTTCCACAATAGTTTTGGAATTTTTTGATGTTTACAATTTATTAATAATAATTATTGTTCATCTCCTTTATCTTCTGTCAACACCAGCCGGACCATTGACAAGATTCATTAATTTTTAATGCCGTTATCCTTCACTTCACTTCATTTTTATATCTTTTAACTTCTCACTATAAATATTTCTTGCATTTTCATTGTCCTATAGCATGTAATTGTTGCCATTTCTCGTATAAAAATCGTGTATAACAGTATAACATTTAAATAAATAAATGTTTAGGTTATAAAATACCATATTGCAGTTGTCAGTACGGTCAATTACAATAATTATCGTATCCTACCATAAAATATCGTATATATGGTAGACCTGACTGAAGCGAGCAGCTGATGCCATTCCCACAATGCAACATTCTCCTCAATTATAAGCTATGCCCCAAAATCAGAATTATAAGGTATGACTCAAAATCAGGATTATAAGCTATAGAACAGATTTGGAATTATAAGCTGTGCCACTATTTGACCATTATAAGTTGTGAAACTGAAAATGTTTCATACCTTATAACGTTTTAGAGAAATTGTGGCATAGCTTATAATTTTTCGTGAAAGTGTGGCATAACTTATAACTGATTATAAGCTATGCCACATTTTCAACATTATAAGCTATGGAACAAATTCACGATTATAAGCTATGACATTATAAGCTATGACACCCCACGTGGCCGCAGCCTTACTGTAAGATACATTTTTGTTTATGTACTGGCTCATAAAGCCACATCAATCTGTCTTTAATTGTTTTTTTTTTGTATTCTTAGCCTCAGCGTGCTATTTTTTCTTATCTGTCAGACTGTCACTAGCTTTCACTAGTCACTATTGACAGCGACAGCTGTTGTTTTGTTTTGGTCGTTTGTTACTTTTGTTGTGTGTGTCCAAGTCCAACTCCAACCACAACAAATTTTAATACATTTCTATTTCTTTCTAGATGATGATGAAATGAAGGAATTATTTAACTTCAAAGCTTAATCATGGGTTGTCTATGCGACAAAAATATGAAGTCTAAGGATTTGTTGACAGATTCAAATAAAGGATATTCATGGTAAGTCAAAATTAAACATCACTGTGATTTGTTAACCACAGCTTCTTCTCATTAAACCCAAACTCTTTTTATGTTTATTATAAATTTTATAAACATCATAAACACTCTTTGTTATTATAAAAACAATATACCCTAGGCCTATATGATTGGCAATTATATGTGAAGCTTATAACCTCAAAAATAACATAAAAAGTGTCATATTATGTCTGGAGCAATTAGCATTCATAAGCCTATCTAGATTGTAATAGCCTAACTTAATAGGTACAATTCCGCAGAGAACCTACGATTTATCATCGGATTAAATATAAATATATATCTATTATAAATTGGGGTACACTTCCATATCTGTTGGCACAAACAACCGAATGAGTAATAGCCTATTGATTATTCGATATCAAATCAAATCAAATCAAATCAATTTTATTTCCACAATATATAAAAATTTACAATTTTTCAAAAAAATAAAATACAAATATATATAGTCTTGAAGCATTATAGAGTAAATTGATTACGTAAATTAATTCTAGTAAAATTAAATTTATAAAGTTATAATAGTAAAAACTTAAATACTAGTTGAATGTTTGCTCCGGCTTGAATAATAACTAATGTAATAGATAAGGAAATGAGTCTACATGGACCTCAGTGGTCTGTGCGTAGACTCGAGTTGTTAACCCTTAGAGTGCCAGGCGAGAAATAAAAGTAACGCTCAAAAAATGCCGATGATTTTTCCCGAAGGTCGCGCTAAAAATGCCGAGCGCGATCTGGCGATTTTTAGGTTAAAATTTCGTAAAAATCGAATTTTCGATATTTCGACCAACGAAAATCGATGTATCGCATCTAGCAACTTTCGACTCAATGTTAATATATGGGTTAAAAGAATCCGAGTATTTATTCGGTTGTTATGACAGCTGTTCGATCATTACGAAACGTCCGGTCAGCCGGACGTTGGCACTTTTGGCTCGTTCTAAAAACGTCCGGTCGGCCGGACGTTGGCACTTTTGGCTCGTTTTAAAAACGTCCGGTTCCCCGGACGTTGGCACTCAAAGGGTTAAAAATTATATATTTTTGAGCTAATTTGAAATAGAAGAAAAAGTTTAAGATTAAATAAAAATTTACTATGTGCTATGGGAACGTGTAAAGATAAAGATAAGTTTAAAGATTATATAAAAAATTGGAGTAAATATTAGTTTAAATTTTTATGAACAGAATTGTTTAAGGAGAAGCCAATAAATAAAATGGAAAAGAATTTTGTTGGTTGCAAGAGTTTGCAGAGGCCCTGTCCGTTCAGTGCTGTCAGACAGTGGCAGGTCTCCTGTTATCAGTAGTGATAAGAGCCTCGGCCTCTTCATCGCTGATATCCAATAACCATCTATTAACTAGATTTTTGAATACACCTAATGTAGGTGAATGAAATAACTGAGTTGCTTTATACATAGTGGAATAATTCCGGAACAAAATATGTGCTATGTAGAAACAATTTGTTTTTGAAAAGGATTTATGCTGCTGAATAGTAGAAATTCCAATTCTATTTGCATATCTTGTATTATGAGTGTGGGTTATGGAAGTAAAAATTGAATTGAAGTTTTTAAATATAAAAATTAGAAGATCTTTAATAAACAATTTTGCAATGGGGAATATTCCAGTTTCATGAAATAGTAAATCTGAGGAGTATCTTTTACACTTTTTGAAACCAGCTTTTAGGATAGACTTTTGAACCACAATCAGACCTGTGAGATGTGAACTGTACGCCCCTCCCCAAGCTAATATTCCATAAGACAAAACCGACTGTACATATGCAAAATATGTTGATTTAATTTCTTTAAAACTGAGAACATCACTTAACTGTCTAAATGCAAATATAAGTTTTCTAGTTTTATTTTGCAAGAAATTAATATGCTCTATCCATTTCATATGTGAGTCAAAAATTATTCCTAAATATTTATATGAGTTAACTCTCTCTAAGGTATCGCACGAACAACTGTTATTGAATTGGTTGAGACAACTGTGCAAGATCAAATTGGTTAGGTTATAGTCAGCTGTTGACGCGAGAGAAATAGGCATGAATTTTGTTTTGGAAACATTAAGAGATAGTACATTTTGGTCGAGCCATTTTTTTACTAATTTGAGATCTGTTTGAGCTTTACTTTTCACACCTTCCCATGTCTTATCCTTAACATAAATCAATGTGTCATCTGCAAAAAGAAACATTTTTCCAAAAATTGGTAATTTAGAAATATTATTTATATATATTAGGAATAAAATAGGCCCAAGGGTACTCCCCTGAATCACCCCATAGTCAACAGGCACCTCATCGCTATTGACTCCATCTATGTATACGAATTGTCGCCTATCTCTGAGGTAGCTTTCGAACCATGAGAGAGCGTTCCCCCTTACACCTATAGCAGATAATTTTGAAATTAGATGCTTTCTGTCTACACTATCAAAAGCTTTTTTGAGATCTAAAAAAATTAATACTGAGCGCAAGTTTTCAGATAGAGCATTAAAAATTTCTTTGTTGATATGAAAAAGAACATCTGTAACATTTTTATCTTTTCTGAACCCATATTGACAGTCTGCTAGGATCTGATTCTGGTTCAAGTAATCCACCATTTGTTCCTTAACTATTTTTTCAAGCACCTTAGAGAATGCACTCAATAAAGATATTGGTCTGAAATTATTTTTGTCTTTGTGGGAGTTTGATTTGTATAAAGGAAAAACTTTTGCCAATTTAAACTTGTCCGGAAATATTCCACTAGCCAAACTTAAGTTTATGATATGCAATAATGGTTTAGAGAGTGAATTTACATTTTCTTTGAGAACATCAGCCGAGACACCATCAAAACCGGGGGCAGACCCACCACGTAACGAGTAGACATGTCTGATAACGTCGAGTTCAGTCACTGTCTGTAGTGTAAACACAGTGTCCTGCCTGTAATCTGCGTCGTTGATGATCGGCGGACCGCTGCTATTTATTGAACTGGCAAGGTTATATCCAACAGAAGCGAAAAACGTGTTAAAGTCATCAGCTACAATCTTTCTTACATCAGGAGTGATGTTGGATACGTTTGGAAGATATTTCTGAACTGAAAAGGGGTCTTTTTTATTTGATCGCCCCGCCAGCTCGTTCACAACCATCCAAAAGCGTTTGGGGTCGTTTTGATATTGGTTTAATTTTGACCTGTAATATACTCGCTTAGAGCTTTTAATACCACTGGAAATTTGATGTCTTAAATCACGATATTCTTTATTTAAAGTAGCATTAAACGGCTGTTTTTTAATTTTCTTACTAGTTTTATCTCTTTCCCTAATTAGCTTAATCAAATCATTTGTGATCCATGGCTTTAATTTTTTGAACCTCGATGATTTCTTAACAGATTTTTTAAAACTATCTATGGTTTCATCCATGATTTGTAAAAAACGAGATGCACAAGAGTTAATGTCAAGGTCGATAAAAAAGTTGCTCCAGTCTATTTGCGCAAGATTACAGGACAGTAGTGTATGATCGATAATGCGTGTAGAAGTATCCAAAGTAACTGACGGTGTATTGGTTGGAAAAGTAATAGTCATGCCTGTGCTGAAATGGTCTGTAACGTGTGTGTGTAATGTTGCTGATTGTACATTTTTCATGTCGTTGTAACGTATGAACATGTGATCAATGCAAGTTTGGCTATTGTTCGTAATTCTTGTTGGTTTGTCTATACATTGAATGAGACCAGCACCTAACAAACAGTTTAAGTAACTGTCGTTAACAGAATTAATACTCAACAAATCAAAATTTATATCTCCAGTTAAAATAATCATCAAATCTTTGCTCAAATGGTTAAGATAATTTTCTAAATCGTTTATAAATAATTTAGCATCTGAATCAAAAGTACGGTATAGTGCTAACAGACAAAATTTGTTATTGTGTAAGTTGAAATTGAGTTGTATTCCATAAACGTCAGCAAATGAGATCTGTGATGCAGTTACTGATAGTCGATTGTTGAAGTAAACAATAACACCGTCGGCTCTATTTCGTCTGTTATCAGTGAGTACATAGTCAAATCCGTCAATCGTCTGTCCCCCTACCCCCTCCTGCAACCAACATTCTGTCAACACAATAATATCCATCTTGGGAATTTCATTTAAATAAATTAAAAATTCATCAAAGTTTTTGGAATAGCTTCTGATGTTTGTGCTTATGACTTTCAATTCGTCATCACCATTATTGTGTGAGAAAAAATTTTTAATTTCAGAAATGGATATTAGCTCTAAACAATTGTTGTGGAAAAACAAAGAGTTGTCACCATCCGCATTCATCTAGCAGTCTACGCACATACCACCTGCCCGGCCGGCAATTGTTGATTGTTGAGCCTACTGCTGTTCAATTGTTACATAATAAAGTGTAGTTAGTAATAGTTTGTTAATGAGAGAGAAAAAGTTCTTGATATATATATATATTGATCGATATTTCCATTCGGTTGTTTGTGCCAACAGATATGGAATTGTACCCAATAGATATGGTTTGATATTAGTTAAGTTTAAGTAATATTGCATTAAATTTAATTTTACCGTAAGTTCTGATAAACGAGAAAATCAACAAAAACATGAATAGCATACAGTTAGTTGGTAAGCACCAATAAAAACGTAAAATAAACAGCTCAATTCAATGTTTACATCATCAGGAGACATTTTTAGAAGCGATATCTCAAACCAAATTATAATCGCTACATTCTATAGGCCTACATCTATATTCAAACAAATAATTATATTACAGGGTTTCTGCGGAACTGCATCCGTAAGTTAGTGACTAAGGCCGACAGGTTCCTTAGACACGGCTGTTAATTAATATAGCCCGTACTACAGCCAATGGCAACTAAGTTAAGGGACCTACAGTTTATAGTGGAATCCTAACCATTTTTTGCCTTGGTATATACGAATTGGTCTAATTAGCCTATCAGGATATCACTCCGGGTAGTCATAGTACTCACTAGGCCTAGTTAGTGCGGACGTTAATCCGCACCAGGGAGTATCACATCCACAGTGCATATCTATAAATATCCACAATTTGTGACCTCCTAGTAGCTAGATTACAGGAAGACGACAATATATCTATCAATCCTAACTTATATCCCCCATGTCATAGGGACACAAAAATCTCAATAATTCTTACCAAAGAAGGTCTTGGCGGACACATGAGTGAAAATTTAAAAACGTACGTTTTCAGGAAAAGCACTTTGCAAAATTTTTTCCCGTTTTTTCAAAACTTTTATTAGTTTTTTTATTTCATTAACATTTGAAGTTTCATAAAATGTCCATGGTAACGCAATATCTTTGGTAGTTTTTTTTTTTAAAGAGCATCTTTAGTGGAAAAACACAAAATCCTGTCACGACCATAACGGACGTTTAAATGAATATTAAAAATAGTTAATATTATTTTTATAACTATGTTTTGCTATAAACTAATTTACTTTTATGACCATTATACAATAAAAAGGTCACTGAGCTTTTGGTATATTTAGTCTTTCTAGAAAAAAATAAAAAACTCAAAAAATTGAAAAAAGCCAATAAAATCTTTTTAAGTTTGTATAACTCCGAAAAAACTTACCTGAGACCCGAAAAATCGTTATGTTTGTATATAGGTGTGCTTCTTTTGTGTATAAAACATTGAAATATGACGATATTTTAATTTTTGAAATTTTTATGATAGAAATCATAAACGTGATGGTCAGGGACAAGCGGTACGGTCGTGAATTGTCTGAAATAATCTAAATCTTTCTAAACAATCCTTCAATTATACTGTTAGTTATAATAAAAATATGTGTTTCAATTGAACTAAACTGTTCAATTTACAATTATATTAAAGTTATTGTCACGACCAAACACACTATAATCCATAAGGCTGGATTGGTCGTGAAAAAACCCGCGATGGTCGTGAAACTTTGGTCGTGAAATTACGTGTTATTTGGCTCTGTTCTGGCGGTAGCCCTGCACCTCATGTTCGAGGATACAAAGTGGACTTCTAGGTTAATCTAGCAATTGAAATATCTTATAAACAAAAATTAACACCATGTCTACTTCATCGAATGACTACGTACGGTCATGGACACACCAAAATTACAAAAAACACAATCTTTCCTTTATTAATCTTGTAATTCCTCCTTTCAACTCGAAACGACCGGCACTACAATCCTGACGTACACCCCGAACTAGTCTCTAAAACCAACTGACTCCATCGACGCCAGGCTTGCCACTTGCCTTTTGATTGGAGACACAATCCACCTTAAACCACTTGGCAATTGATCAGACCTCATTTTCTATCTTAAAAACTTAAAATCCAATTCCCTAAACTTAGTAGTCTTTCTAAGCTTGTTCCTATGTTGTAGCACATGTCCGGCACAGTATCAAAACCATTTTTGCTAAGCTATGCTCGCATAATTAGTTACATGTAAAGATTTTTTATGATTTTTCAATTGTTCAACGTACCTATTTACTTTGAAGTTAAAGTAGTCACAAGCTGGACAACAAGTTGCAATTGGTAAGTTAGTAACTGTATGTAATATTTCAATTTGTATGTATCTGTAGCCTAACTCAACAATTTGACATGGTCCATAACATAACTGTATTTCTGTTCAATCGACCAAATAAAGAATCTTGTATCTTGTTAGTCAGTGAAGTTTTGAATTGTTTCAGGGAAAAACGAGAACAAAACATTGATCCTAATGATTTCACCTTGGAAGCCACTGAGAACTCAGACATCTGGAAAGTCCCAGGGTCTATTAATGGTCAACAATATGTAGTCAGAAACTGTAGAAAATCTTGCATTTACCTCTTAGACAATATCAACACTTTGACAATAGATGACTGTAATGACTGTAAATTTATCGTTGGACCAGTCACAGGAAGGTGAGTAAATATTTATGTAAACTTAAATTGGATTAGTCTACTGTGGTATAGGTATACTGTTTATTTATTAATCGAGAATGAGCCAACATAACATTGAAGACAAATATAGTTGTTATCAGATTGTCATATTGTTGTCTGTAACAATCCATATTATATCCCATGGACTCCTGATAGGGTCAGGGAAAATTTGGCTTTTCTTATCTCCTTAGACTACAGTTTAAGGCGGTAGCCTAGAATAGTATTGCGTAGGCCTAGCTGTAAACAAAGGACTAAAAGATCATAAGTTTGCTTTAAAAATAGGCTATGTTTAATTTCATTATTGTAAGGATCAACTTTAACATACCGGTATGGATTCATATTGTTGATCAAATCGTTTCACCTGGACATTTTAGGAACTGTTGTAGGCCCTAACTTACTTGTCATCGCTCTTTCTAGGTTAAATTGGCTTAGCCCTACAGCAGGGTTGCCACTTTAGGTTAGGGAAAAATCGGGACATTGCCCCCTCCCCCCAAATTGACATAGGCTTATATACGGGCATAAGGAACCAAAATCGGGACTGTCCCGGCAGAATCGGGACGGGTGGCAACCCTGCCCTACAGGCTGTTTGTAAGGCAAATAAATTGGCTATTTTTCTGTTAGTTACTGACAAATCTAATTTTTAAAATATGCTATCTAGGCTATATCTAGCATTTTGTTTTGTCTCGAAGATCTCATAATAATAAATACAGTTCACTTCCTACAAGAAGGACTCTCACTCAAACTAAAACAAGTTTAACAACCAGACATTCAGTGGGGTATAGGTGGAAGCAGCTGCCCCCATTTTTTAGAGGATTTATTAAAAATTATTTCAGTGTCTACAACCTCATACCTTCGCTATTACTAAATAGTCAATTGCCGCTACTTACTGTTTTGAACCATTCAATGCTAATAGCTTGGTGATCAAATACTTATAAGGCTTAAGGCCTATATGGAAAATGTTTAAATACTCAAGTAATAAGCCTACATTTCAGTGTTGTATTTAAGAACTAACAATAGCTCTCTTACAGCGTGTTCCTAAGGGACTGCAGGGATTGTTCATGTGTGGTTGCCTGTGGACAGTTCCGTTTAAGGGATTGTCATAATGTCAACGTGTTTCTATGTTGTCCGACCCAACCGATTATTGAGTCTTCACGTCGAATACATTTTGGATGCTACCAGTTGTACTACGATCAGCTAGAAGGTTTGTGATTTATTTAGTGTGTTATATAATTGTGATGCATGTCTTATTATGTATTATTTAACCTAAGCAGTTTTTAAAAATGTACTTGTGTCCTGAAAAGAGCTCTGAACTGTAAACTGTCCCCAAATTTAAAATAGGACGCTGAAATGAAATTACATCCAAATTATTGTAAATGTTGAGTTGAAATATGAAGAGCAATAATAAAGTAAACAAATACAAATGATATCGCTTTAGTGAGAATAAATGTCAAAGTTGTTTGTAAGAAGGTAAGATAATACAAGAAGAAGGTAAGATAGGTAGGAAAATACAATAGTTTTTATGTAGACTATGTGCTTTTAATTTATTATGATGAGTTCGCTCCATGAGGGGTTTCCCCATATAACCTACACATTCCTCAAGGTAGTCTACCCTGTGTACATGTTTGTGTTTGCTCATCAAAAATACAGCAACTCTGTTCAGGATGGCTATAAAAAAAATGATATACTAGCATATTTGATAAATTTAGCCTAGCCTAAAGACAAATTCAAGTTCAGACTTAATCCTCTTCGACGACGACATTGTGTCTATTAAGTCCAAGTATATATTTCAGACCAGTTCAGATTATTTACCAGCCAAATGGACAAATTTTGACAATCCCCAGTTAGTGTTTATCCCAACTGATATTGTGTAAATCCCAGTTTGTATTTCAGACCAGTTTCGATCAGCTGGCCTGAGTGTGTTTAACAACATCTGGAGCAGTGTTCACGACTTTACACCTTCACACACGGACATCAACTGGTGTCTATTACCTGCTACCATGACTGTACAAGACTATTTCCAGCCTTCCAATCATCCGTAAGTCCAGTATTGTAGGGGTTTTACATTTATTTGCTGGGAGTTAAAATCCGAGATGAGGTACTTGATTGATTATGCAACTGTTGATCTTAAACTTGGACAGTGAATCATATGGTTGTTTAGATCAAGATACATTTGAAGCTAACACATCAGGCTACCCTATACATGTTTTTAAGGTGAAGATGAGTGTTGTGTAAATGGGATGACAGCTTTGTTACTGATTTTGATCAGATGGTTCTTGAGCTAGGACCATTTTTAAAAGCCAATCAAGAACAGTTTGGTTCATTCTTTATCCTTTAAAAGGTTTCTGACTGTTTCCAGGATAAAACTTTATAATTACTAAGCATGCAATGTAGCCATTCTGTTACTTAGCTTTATAACAATTTATCTTCCTCAACTCAGATGAAGCAGGGCTGACTTTGATCATAGAACTGGACCTGGTTTTGTAACAGTGATACCAATGTTTCTGCGTACTGAATTAGTTTTTTTTTATTTCATGCACGCAAGTCACCTGTCCAGAGGGACTAATCGGGGAAGACAGATTATTGATCATGGTTTTATCGGATCTTGCAATGGCCTTTGTTAAGCCATTGCAAGGAAGACTGTCTATCGATTTTAATGTAGAAACCTTTGAGTGGACTCACACCCACACCCAAGGAAAATAGTATATACATACTGTTTGAATCAGTTTTGTATTATGTTATTGTTGTACATGTGGCAGCCCTGTCTGACGATATACGCACTTCCACCATCAAGATGTCTACCTTCATTGCAGAGCCTTTAAATACTTAAATACTTTAAATACTTGATTCCTTCATATTTGACCAACAAAAGTTGGATGGATTGCGTCAAAAAAAGAGTAAACTTATAAAACACTATAAACATATACAACTATAACACTACACACTATATATACACACTATATATATACACTATAACTATATACAATTTAATCTGAACTGACGGATGTGACTCGGATTTTTGGAAAGGCGAGTGGTTCGTCAATCAGTTCCTTGATCGAGTACAGGGGCCTACTGACTAGGCTCTGGCGAAGTGCAGACTTAAACTGTTTTGGTTCTAGGGTCCGGATGGTTGTCGGTAGCGTGTTGAATAATTTTATCGCTAGAGATGGGTATGAATTAAGCGTGTGGCTAAGTCGACAACGGGGTGCATCCAGGTCATAAGCTCTGCGGGTCCCATAGTTGTGCTGCATGTTTCTGGTTGAGAAGTTGTTAATATTTTCTCTCAAAAGGACTAGGGTGTTTAACGTATATTGGCTGTAAACTGATAGAATGCCAAGTTCCTTGAAAAGAGGCCTACAGTGGTCGGTAGGGCCGGAGGATGTTATTAGCCTTAGCGCCTTCTTCTGAAGCAACAGCACACTCTGGGTCGGGTGGCTATGGCCCCATACCACCAGTCCATAATTTATGTGGCTATGGAATAATGCATAGTACATTATGACTAGGTAGGGACGTGTGATCTCATGCTTAAGTTTCCTGATCAGATATAATATTCTACTTAGCCTAACGCATACTTTCTCCACATGGAGGTTCCAGTTGAGTTTGGAATCGATCCAGAAACCTAGCAGTTTGACCGCCTCGTCTTCGATGCCCTGGTTGAGAGTGCACGTGACGGATTGTGTTTTATCGTCATTGATTTTGAGAGGATTCAAAACAAACCATTCCTTGGCTTCATCCAGCAGAATTGCTGCCTCGGTTCTCAGGTCGTTCAGGTTGTTGTGCCTGGTCAGTAGTGTTGTGTCGTCTGCAAAGAGCAGCATTCGCCTGTTTAAGGACAGATTATTGATCATTATGACAAACAGGACAGGGCCCAGAATCGATCCTTGGGGCACGCCGTGGTGTATTTGCCTGATACTAGAGGAGGCTCCCTGCAGTGAAACAATTTGTTTCCTGTTTTCTAAGTAGCTGACTAACGATTTGTGGACTACTCCAGTGACGCCATATTTGCCAAGTTTGGTAAGAAGGATATCATGAGAGACCACGTCGAATGCCTTGCTAAGATCACAAAGACTAAGATGGAGGGAGTCATTTGATTCAAAGGCATCAGAGATGTTCATGACTAGGCTAAGGAGTGCAGAGGTTGTAGATCGTCCGGCCCTAAACCCATGTTGGGAATCGTTGAACAGGTTGTTGTTCTCGAAATAGGCCACCAGTTGCTGTTTCATTACTGACTCCAGAACCTTAGAGAAAACAGGAAGAATTGATAACGGCCGAAAGTTAGCGGGCTGTGCTGGGTCACCCTTCTTGTAGATAGGGATGGTTTTAGCTATCTTCAGGTTTTCGGGAAAACACCTTCGGCCAAACAGCTGTTGACTAAATAAGCAAGAGGGGCAGCAATCGATTTAAATACAGATTTAAGAATATGACTAGAAACACATCTAGCATAATTTGTTGATACTGTATCACAAACATACTACATCCCAAGGCTGAGAAGTAGGTGTTTGCAGTACAATCATAATGGGTTCTAATGAGAGCACCATTAATTTAATACCTTTCCTGGCTGGTGAGTCACATGCCATACTTAGTCAATACACTACCAGCAACATATATTGGTAAAACAAATCCTGCAAATACAATCTCAAAAATGTTTAATGCACACTATTTACACACCAAGCATTTAAACAGAATTTTAACTCTCTTTTTTAAACTTTGTTTTAAAACCTTACTGATATTTATTTATTGTTAGAGTGCAATGTGTTTGTCCAAACCTGTCTAAAATTTATTGTGTAGCTTTCTATAGAGCCTACTAAGTAACTCATACTTGATACCTCACCACAAACCTCTACAAGGCCACTCAAACCCCAAAAGGTTATTGGCCTTGCTAACAGATGCCCCCCATCCATCTCCGTCTTACATGAGATCTGGTGTTATGTTGAATCTCTGCATGTCCTTCTGCACCTGATCTTGTCATCCCAGTCTTGGGCACCCCGATGATCGTCTGTCTCGTGGATGATTTTCTGCTGCCATTCTTAGCGTGGAATTCAGCTCCCTTCTATTTACATGACAGCCCACCTCAATCTTATATTTTTGTTTAAATCTATTATGTCAGAATCTTGATACAAAGTTCTGAGTTCCATGTTGGTCCTTTTTCTCCATATTCCTTGATCACTTGATGTTGGACCAAAAATTGATCAAAGAATTTTCTTTTCAAAGACTATAAGTTTCTTTTAGGATTTTTTGCTTTTTTGAGTGTCCAGACCTCAGACCCATATAATACAACAGGTAAAATCATACTCTTGTGGTAGCCTTAATTTGGTAGTTTTTAAACTCATATTATGCTTTTTTGAAAAAGTATCTGTGAGTGTGGTTAGTTATTCTCCCAAACATTAAAAAAATGTACCATAAACAACAAAAAAATATCGATTCCTTTCTGTAAACAACAACTTTCTGGTCTTTAAAGTGCATATAAATCAGCTGCTTACCTTGTTGTATCGTAAAAAAATAAAAAGCACAATTAAGTTATTAAATTACATAGATGGTGGAGAGAGAGAGGTTTTTAGACGCCCTCTTTAACCATAAGCTGATATGAGTCATTTTTCAGGAATTTTAACTGTCTCACTGTCACAAACATTGAATACGGTTAAAGTTTTTTTTGACTATAATGATGATCACATTGATAAATCGTAAACCAAAACTGTTCATGTTGAATTGTTTCAGGTTAAACCTGTCTCTAGAAAGAACATGGAGTGTTGTTCCAATGACCACAGGAGTTTTTCCGGAACCTGATGAAGACTTGGAGGTTTGCTTGGTAGCGTTCTTTCACACAAACAATGAAGAAGCCTTAGCCAAATCTTTCATCCGACAGCTCCTTGAAGACAGGGTAAGAGGACTAATTTACACTTCTTTTAGGCGTGATTTCCTCCTCTATGGTGTCAAGGTAAAACTTCTACTATGTAAAGTGTTTATGCATGCCATTGAAATTTGTTACGTTTATGTAAGGTAAATTGTTTTTTGTGTTATAACAAGTAACAGTTTTGATGGGACCTTTATGTCTGCCTTTTTGCTAGAGAAAAAAAGTTTCGAAAATGAAAATGTTTAGTGTAATGGATCAAAGTTTAGTTGTAACTAGCACCGCCTTTTACTACCTGTATCCACCGTTTGGGAAATACTGCCCTGATTTAACATATGATGATATATTATTTTCCTTATCATCATATAACAAATTTTACTGCTTCAAGCCGCAATGATTCAATAAGACTTCAGCATTCAAAGAGGAAGCCAACTACTTCAAACCAAACCATTCATAACACCACTTACCACCCACCTTCTCAAAAGTTTGCAGCATAAAACAGCATAGTGTATAGGCTTCTACAGCTCTCTATATCACTCACTAATTATTAGAAAGAGAGGCACTTAGCAATAGCTAATGGGTTTGAAACAAACATTGTTGAGAATCTTAACAAACAAAAGAATGAAAATAGAAATACAAATGATAATGAAGTTGAGAGTGATAAGTGATAGTGAAGAATATTTCCATTCTTACAGCATGAGTTAGACTAAGAATTAAAGAAACACAGTATAGAGCTAACTTTTAGGACAAATAACAAGACTATAAATATAAACTAATTGATACAAGAAAGGTTATTGAAGAAGGCGGTGAGACATAGTTATGTTAATGTTACGCTTTAGATTTTTTTGAGCAGATCACTTATCGTTGTTTCAAATGGAGCAAGTCACACCGCCGTATACAGATTGCGGACTCTGCAGGACGTTTTTGCTGGTTCACTCGCCGAGAGATCACGAGCAGACGTAACGTTAGGACTGTGGCCTCTCGCATGCTTACTTAGCTCATCTGGTCTCATCTACATGGCGAATGACGACAGATGAGTCAAAATTGGGCCGTGGGATGTTTGCAGACATCGGTCTTGGTGTCTTGGGCATCTGCAGCAAAACATACATAATGTCATGTAACTTTGCAGTGCAGATGGTGGTGTGTCACCGCCTTAAGGGTGACAGGTCAGGGATGTACAAAATTAGCTGGTCATACTAGTGTTTATGTAGGAAAACAGGACACATTAAAAACAAGATATAAATAAAGGGCATCATCCAAACCGAAAGCTGACTAACAAAAATCAAAACTTGCCTAACACCTGATAGATGAAAACTACAACCTAAATAACCTTAACACCGAAACGGCACAAGGAAGATTTCTCAGGTTCCGTTTGGCGTCACTAACTGCTGACGTCACTTTGAGGGAACACCAATACCGCAACGATACGGCTTATGCCATCGGCCTTGGTGGTGCAGTGGATAGCGTTGCGGGCTGATAATCCGAATGATCCGGGTTCGAATCCCGCCGGCGGCACTAACTTTTTATCAACAATTTTTTCATATCAGCAAGTTTGGTTGGTTTGGTTAGGTTATGACAGTTTAATTTTATAATTAAAAAATTATAAAATTGAATTTTAGGCAATTATAATTTTATTTTATGAACAAAACTATTTTTTAGATTAGTAAACCTTTACTAATCTACCTTGGAGTGCCGTGATCGGGTTGCAATGTGTTGTAGGCCTACATAATAATGTTTCGTTCTTACGTGTCAAATGTATGTACAGTTTTGTGTTTATTTGTAAATTTCTACAATTTGACGAGTCCAATTCGGATATTATAATGTTTCAAGTCTCAATGTTTCTGTGTATACCACTTGAAAATGCCAACATGGCGAAACATGTAGTGGATTGAAATAGACACTATTTATTTGAACTGCAAGACGAGGTATGTTTTAATTTAGTTTATACTAAGCAGTTCAGGGGCTACAAAATGGAATTTAAGTAAACCTTTAATCGATTTTTCCATTATCAGCACGTTTGGTTAGTTTGGTTAGGTTATGACAGTTTAATTTAATAATAGAAAATTATAAAATTGTCTGTTTCTTCAGACGCAGCTGTTAGTGACGTCAGCAGTTAGTGACGTCAGCAGTTAGTGACGTCAAACGGCACCTGAGAAATCTTCCGTGTGCCCCACCGCCTTAACACTGGCTTGGAAATCCTTCACATCTGTACAAAAAGCAATAAATTAGGTACCCTGAAAAAATTTAGATTTTTATAAAGCCCACAAAAAATGATAATGGTGAACTTATTCTAAACGATAAACAATTCAAATCACACGTTATTTCAACAGCATTTTAAATCAGCGAAGGGAACCAAGACCAGGAGGGCAGAGTACAGCTGATAACCCTACCACTGACATGACAAGGCAAAGTTGACTCCCAGTCAGCTACTTGCACGAGTGTGGGAATGTGCGTTTCTCAATAGGCCTGTTTGAAAAAAAACCTTGTTTTTACTATGTGTATTCATTGTGTGTGACATTTTTATGTTTTTGTTTTTTAATGACACGTTATGGCTGAACAATGTCTGAACATGGCACATTGATGTTGAAATGGCTGTAACATTTGCTACACCTTTTTGGAGCTGGTTCACGAAAGTAATTTATTGATTTAGTCATAGGATCAGCTCAGGGGTTAGAAAATATGGATTTTAATTGAAAAACCAATCGTACCATTTGCTAATTGAATGTTCCAAACTCTTTCAGCCATCTTGTTGGTTGGTGAGTTGCAGACAGTTGACTCTGGAAGGTAGAGATGCCGAGGTTGTGTTTGGAAGTTCATCCTACAACAAGGAGGCTGAGGCTGGACCTCTGGTAGGTCTGGTGTTGGCAGGACCACGGGTCATATACTTCTGTCAGAAGGTAAGTTGACTAATCTCAAGTGGAAGGTCAACGTTTTAGTTTTTGGTGTCAAACACTATGGAGTAGATCCCATTTTTACCTTTTGACTGGATTTAATTCCAAACCCAAATGTCGAACCATCAGAAGTTAGAAAAACAACTATGGTACGCATACACAAATTTCCAAGCCTCAGTCTATTTACCTGATTTTTAATCGACATAACTATTAGTTAACAATTACTGCTTCTAAGTGTTTGATCTATCTTGTGGGACAAGATAAAACACCAAACTTTTACCTGACAAGCTTTGTATTCACCTGCCAAGGTTTCACCTTCTTGTTATGTGTTCAAAGTTAATTTTGGGTTTTGGTGAGTTAACATTGTTTAATTATTTTCACAAAAGTTAATTCTTTTCACAAAAGTTAATTCTTTTCACAGCATTATCAGTCAGATCTGAAATCTGGTCGCATTCCTCAAGTGGGCAAGCTTTAAACCATTACAAGAAAAGCATTAGCCGAATCTGGAAAAACCCAATGCCACCCATAGAATAGTTGCGAAAACATTGGTTTTATTCTAGTCGTGATGGAAAAAGTCCTTAATAAATTGATACATAATGTAGGCTACTTGTTTTGTGAATATTATTCTGGCTTTAGTTGGTAGGGTATTAATTATCATAAGTGAAAAAAATATTTCTATGGTTTGAACAAATTTATCCCTAAAACTATTATAAATCTACCTCCTTTTTATAGCATTCAAATAACTGTTTTATTGAAATAAGCTGTGAAAGACATAGGCTTTGCAATAGAAAAACAAAGCATTCACTTCACAATCTTTTAAATTGACTAGCCTTCATGCCTGGTCCAAATTCAGTGTTGCCATCCTCCAAGAACCGGATACACCCTTAACAGCCTTACCAATCGCTCAAGTACAAAGACTAACAATTTTTGTCCTGCAACTCTTTCGAACTATGAGTTTTTTATTTGTAAGTAATTACTATTGCATCTACTACTTGGAGTAGCCTAACAAAAACAATTTAAACAGTGGTCACAAGTCACAACCCTCTCCCTGAAATCTGATTATACTCTGATGAGAAGAATCTGTACTTTCACATATTGTTTCAGACGGCAGAGAAAGTCGTTCCTGCCAAGGATCAAGTGTATGTGAGCTCGAACCCGCGAACGTCTCCCATACAAGCAGAAACATTCACCAGCGTTGCAGCCATGCTATTGTATTCGTAAACACTGCCTTAGGATTATGTGTTGGATACATAACTAGCCTTGATTCAAAGACATGTATCTGACAAAGAACGTTTTTAGAATGAGTTTAAAACTTGTTAATCAAATATAAATCTATAGTGTTTGTTTTATTTCAAAACAAAAAGGCACGATAGAAAAGCATAGTAATACTTACTACGGTGAGTAAAGAAAACATTTTAATTTTTTTTTTATATCTATACTTCATTCACAAAATGTAGGCAGGTTTATGAGAAGAAATCTATCCCCTCCACTTGATCCTATCTTTAAAACAATAGCTCAACAGCTATGTTTTTCAAAATGTCAATAAGCTGCTATACATTAGGCAAAAAAAGTAGTGGGGAACTTCCCCTCAAACCGCCTAAATTTTGTGAACAGACTATAATTAATTATCAACTTAGTATTTACAATCAACAAATTTTTGTCACTTGGGTATTATTTTCTTTTTACCGCACATCTAGTCATATTCTTATTCTTGTTTTTGGCAATTAGGTGTTAAGAACAAAAATCATAACAATGCAATTTGGTACTTTGTACATTTAAGTAGGTAGTTGTAAATAACACTTTTGCCTTAAAGTTTAGTCTTTCCAAAGGTAATGTTTGAGGTTTTACAAAAATAAGGTACATATAGATTTATAAAAGACATTTGTTTGACATACTTATATATATTTCACATTTATTGGTAAAATAATATACATTGTTTTTAAATAATAGGCTTTATTCGTTATACGAGTGAAAATTTAAAAACGTACGTTTTCAGGAAAAGCACGTTGCAAATTTTTTTCCCCCTTTTTCAAAACTTTTATTATTTTTTTAATTTCATTAACATTTGAAGTTTCATAAAATGTCCATGGTAACGCAATATCTTTGGTAGTTTCTTTTTAAAAGAGCATCTTTAGTGGAAAAACACGAAATCCTGTCACGACCATAACGGACGTTTAAATGAATATTAAAAATAGTTAATATTATTTTTATAACTATGTTTTGCTATAAACTAGTTTACTTTTATGACCATTATACAATAAAAAGGTCACTGAGCTTTTGGTATATTTGGTCTTTCTAGAAAAAAATAAAAAAACTCACAAAATTGAAAAAAGCCAATAAAATCTTTTTAAGTTTGTATAACTCCGAAAAAGCTTACCTGAGACCCGAAAAATTGTTATGTTTGTATAGAGGTGTGCTTCTTTTGTGTATAAAACATTGAAATATGACGATATTTTAATTTTTGAAATTTTTATGATAAAAATCATAAACGTGATGGTCAGGGACAAGCGGTACGGTCGTGAATTGTCTGGAATAATCTAAATCTTTCTAAACAATCCTTCAATTATCCTGTTGGTTATAATAAAAATATGTGTTTCAATTGAACTAAACTGTTCAATTTACAATTATATTAAAGTTATTGTCACGACCAAACACACTATAATCCATAAGGCTGGATTGGTCGTGAAAAAACCCGCGATGGTCGTGAAACTTTGGTCGTGAAATTACGTGTTATTTGGCTCTGTTCTGGCGGTAGCCCTGCACCTCATGTTCGAGGATACAAAGTGGACTTCTAGGTTAATCTAGCAATTGAAATATCTTATAAACAAAAATTAACACCATGTCTACTTCATCGAATGACTACGTACGGTCATGGACACACCAAAATTACAAAAAACACAATCTTTCCTTTATTTATCTTGTAATTCCTCCTTTCAACTCAAAACAACCGGCACTACAATCCTGACGTACACCCCGAACTAGTCTCTAAAACCAACTGACTCCATCGACGCCAGGCTTGCCACTGTCGTGCTCCAAAGTTGAAAATTTTTCCCAAATGGTCGTGACGCCAAATCGAGGGACAGACTTATTTTGTCATGGTAGTCAGTTTGTAATGACAATAAAATTATAATATGCTCCTTTTTTATAAGTTTAATAACCATTGATGACATAAAAATATGGCTTTATATATTTCGGCATGAATAATTAGTCTAAAAACAGCGTGAAAGTTGGAAAATGTACCCTAGGGACACGTCATGGTCGTGAATTTCGAGACTTTAAAAATACGAAAAAAATACCTAGAACCTATTTAAAACAAAGTAAATGTGTGTAACATGTTGCCCCCGTCCCAAAAAATATTAAAACACATAATAATAAACTACAAATCCAGTATCTACAAAGTAAAAGGCCAGGGACATGAAAACGTACGTTTTTAAATTTTCACTCTCACTCATTATATAATTGAATTACATTTTTTACACGTCTAAACTATCACAAAACACAAAGTATTGAACCTGGGTTGCTAGTGAAACAATACTTGCGTAATCTATAACGTATTCTGTAAAATAAGACAACTCGTACAATACAAGAATGAAGTTTTGCTGTCTTTTGTGACATTTTAAGCCCACTTAGTCAATGTAACCAAACTAAAATGTAAAATTTGTTTGTGCCTTATAAAATACATTGGAGTTGTTAGTTTCAATGCAATACCATCCTTATAATAAGCCACCATATTCCTGCTGGCTTGTATTTAACTTAACGTTTTTCATACTGGCATCTTTTTGGAAATCAGACGATCTAGGAAATGAACTACATCAACACACCAAACTCATACTATTTTATAGTACCTCTTGCATTAATACAGCTTGGATTAAGTGTGACTTTCCTTTTATTATTTTACAAGCAACTTAGACACAAATTGTTAATTTTTTGCACATGAACAGTAAAAGTTATTCAATTCATGTTGACTGCATGGTTAGTTGGAAAAGAAATTACGCAATATCACCGAATTCCTGTAGCTTTAAGAAATAGTAACAGCTGTTGAAATTTGTATCAGATTATTTTCATGGTGTTTACCATGGCCTCCTCTAATACAAGACCGCAGCAAGGCGAAAGCGGAAACGATGCAGTTCTAGCCTACAGAAACAGCTGTGGCACTAACTCATAACAATTCTGCACAATGCTTGTTATTACTGTTACTACCGGCTAGCCGGTACTACATACAACTGTAATGCTGACAGTACACTATCGCCGAATACAGGCGAACACGATAGTGTACCCGGTCTGCTCATGTACACTCGGGATAGCATAGCTCTCATCACCACAATTCGTGTTCGTCTGTGCTCCATTTTTTGTCGGTATTTGGGATGAGTCAAAGGAGATGAGCAAAGCCGAGTGCCGGAAGTTAAAATATATCTACCATCAGCAAGCATGTTCGGCGAACATAGGCAAGCGTATACTGGGTGTGGTTGTGGTTCTCGTTCATCAGCTTTCGTCGTCGAGACCCAAATAAAAGATTTGGCGAAACATTCGTCCAAATATTCAGTGATAGTGTACTGCTAGTATTAATGTAATATGCCGGCTGGTGCTATGTTGCGACACACCAAAGCCGCGGCCTAGTATAAGAGGAGACTACGGGGCTTTCCACAGTTGTTTTTAATTTTGAGATGATGCCAATATGGTATTGGATGGATTAATTGAATTATAAAAATGTGTAGTTGTAAAACAAATCTAAAATTATTATGGTAATTAATAAGGGATTGAAAACAGTTTTGATCATGAAGTAAATATTACATTCCTCTAAATTCATGATCCAGTTTTGATCTAAAAAGAAAAACGCAAAAAAACTGTGTTACTAAACCTTTCTGAAAAGGAAAAGGCACTTTATTGAAAACAATGCCATCTTTGTCCACTATATGACAGTTCTACTGCTTTCTACTCATAGAAGAATAATTGTTTACAGTAGAATCCCAGTTAACCGAAATACAGTAAAGGGGGGAGAGCTGTTTCGGATAACCAATTTTTCGGTTAACCCACATGCTAAAAATAGCCTTTTTAACACCACGGTGTGTAGGAATAATGAAGTTTAAACAATGTCTATATATTACAGTGTTTTATTTCTGCTTCAAAAATGTTACAATGGGTTAGAAAAGCCCCTTTTCTAGAGAGATGGGCTCGGCTACGCCTCCCCGTTTACATATTTCATATATTTTACTTATATTTTTGCCCTTATTCATTTATGGAACCGTTTCGGTTAACCCTGGTTTTGGTTACCCCATTTTGTTTAACCGAGATTCTACTGTATAGCATGAAAGACTAAAATAGAATTTTAGTTGTAGCACACTTTTTGAATGTATCTTTCAACTATGTTCTGTTTAGGTAAAAAACTTGCTACAAGTTACAGTATGGTCCACATAAACCAAATGCTTACTTCAGTACCTAAGAAGTCAATGACTTTAACTAAATAACATTACGAATTACTGTAAGGAATAAAGTGTTATGTATGCTGCAGAGAAAAATATGTAGACACCTCTAAATGAAATTAGGAGTTAAGGAAAGGCCAATTGGCTGATTAGGATTATTATGTACAAGGATAGGGATCAGCTAGCTTACCTGGAGCTGATCCCTATCCTTCTAAATGAAATTAGTTGATATTAGATGTAATTTATTTAGGAGTTCAGCAATAGGGAAACTTACATTTAAAAAGTTTTTTGGCCAATCTAGCAAGAATGTTATTGGTTATCTCGCTCAGACCATCCTATCAAGTGATGGTTAAAAGAGTGTTGTTACTTAATTAATTAACTATGCATATCAAATAAGCCTAGTCTTTACCAAACGGTCCACAAATATAGCTCAATTATGATAGTCTGTATTTAGTATGATTGTAGATTGTATGCACTATGGTAATATTTTTAAATATAATTTCTTAAATCGTATTTAGCAAAATATTTTTACAACTCTGTGTTTTTAGTTGTTTATAACATTACTTTGTACACTTGGTTTTCAAGCACATTTATTTGCTAATGATAAGATAGTCAAGGCTTTTACACTTCGTGAAACACAATTCTGTGATGTATTACTAGTCATTAAGCTCAATATTTTGAGTTTAGAGTTAAAGTGGCAATTTACACTACGCTTTAAATGTCAAGCCTTTTACACAGTTGCTAATAAAGTTAAATTTTTATAAAACTGAGTAGTTACAAAAATCTTGTACCGAAGTTTCCCTCATCTGTCTTGAATTGATTCCTTAATCAATGTTTAATTTAAACATTAAGGCTGGTACCATTGACTATATAACACTACTAGATTGAAGACTATGCGGGAGGACGCGTGAACAGGAAATGTCTACAATGTACTGTGTTGTGCACGG